GTATAAGTGGAAAGCATTTGGATGATGCCTTTTGATGATGGGCACCGGTACCTACAGGACATACAGTGAAACACCCATACTCAACTGTGATGCTGCGTTACTAGCTAGGTTATTTTCTAGCTTTGGTTATTTTCTGCCAATTTATATTTTAATATGAGTTCTTCAGCACAGTAAGGTGTTTTAAAATGAAAAAACAGCAAACTGTTGTTTTTATAAGTAAAGCTTACAAATTGTACCCCAAGAGAAAATTCCATTAACTGATTTACATTAATGGAATTCACAATAAAGAATGCATGTTGAGACCCGGCAAAAGATGCCTTTTAGTATTTATAAGCACTGCATGCATCTAGTATGAAAACCGTATCAATTACAAGTGCCAGTTCTACAAGTTACACAGTCTACTCTTTGTATCAGTAACTTTAAAGGTTGGAGGATCCTTGCTGATTAAGCTAATTCTCAATCCAGTGACTAAATGATCATATTTAGAATCATCAGAAAATGTACAGTCTAAAATTAACAGTGATAGAGTCAAGCACAGTATAAGTTTTATCTCATTATCTGATGTTGAGTTTTCTTAAATACAAAGCTGGAGTTTACAAACCATGATCTTGATGAACCACACTGCAGCATTGTAGATTTCAATTGAAAGCTGACTTTCTCCTATAATTGTCATGATGGAAATGTTCGTGACAATAAGTGGGAAACGAAGAGGGTACATCTGTGTTTATCAGTGGTCTCCATGTTGAATGAGTATTACCATTTATCAAAGACTTGGCCACTTTTACATTGTGATTTGTTTCTGAATAAGATGTTTTATAATTGTATGTCTAATAACTTTGTCCATTCCCTATAATCTTGCTCCTCAGAAAAGCCTAGCCACTGTGTTCCTGTATTTACAGTCACAAAATGTAAACTTTAATAGTGATTTCTAAACTATGAGATTTCTGTTCATGAGACAAATGAGTCTTAAATCTTTCATGGAAAGGGCACTGTTAATGCCCAATGCCCTATACTGTCTCAAAACTACATCTGTGGCTAAGTTACATGAAATCTACATTTCATTATGTCTACAAGTTTCTGGGCTTTTGTTTTTCTGGGAAGAATGGGAGGATGAATCAGGGAAAAAAAAAGGTTCTTTTTTATATGTTCACATTAATAAGAAAACTAGGAATTGCTTTCAAAGTATTCTTTAAAAGCTCATGTCATTGAAATTATTCCCAAAGAAATTTCCCTTTTTAAACTGAACATGGTTTCAGAAACCATTTATTTGCTTTTAAAACAAAATATTACATGCCTGTTGCCAAGATTCCCAAGTAAAATGATTTGGATAGAAACTGTGAAGCGCCTACCTCTGCAAAATAATGTAATAAAAGTACAAAATACAACTGTAGTTTTCTTTGGATCCTTAACACATTTGCAAGATTAATCCCTACCGTATATTTGACGGGCTTTGAAATCCTTCCAGAAGTGTTTCCACTCTTGATTATATTTAGTTACAAGTAAGGAAACAGTGTCTGACACAAACCTGCAGTGTGCAGATGTTGAATTTCTAAAAAAGCAATACATAGTCCTGCTGTCACTACATGTGTAAACTATGGTTGACAGGGAGACCTACTACACAGGTATTAAAAACCTCAATATTTTAGCATAGATAAGGTTAGGATCATAAGTTCACATCTTTTTTTTACATTAATCATCTTTATAAACAATTTTCATGCTGGGTTATTTAAGGCTTTTAATTTAGTAGGCTGAATTTTAAGAGATAATTGAAATAAACATGTAAGTAGTTGCCGTTTTAAGTCTTTATTTCTTACCTGTGGAAGAAGGGAAAATGTAATGTTTCTTGTTTTAATTTGCAGAACTCATCCAGTGAAAATCTATGTAAAATCAAACCAAACTAGTTGGATTAAGTGTATATTGCCATGGAAATAAGTGACAAGTAGTATTCCTGAATTATTGAACCCATGTGTATTTCTTGTTTTGAACTTTAAAATCTTGAAATACATGTAAGTGAATGTAAGAAAAATAACAACAAAAACAACTTTGTAAAGTACAGGTTATTCCCTGTAATAGGAGGTTAACTTACACTTGTCTGTTAAGAAAACTACAAGAACTTTCACTGGAGGACTTTGAGAGGTGTTTAGGGGAACAATTACTGGCACATCCTCCGAGTTGAAATGCTGCGGATATTTTGAGTTATACTTGCAAGCAGGTGGAGTTTTGCAGCTGAAGGGAAACAGTTGAAACTGCTACCGTCTGAAACTGGGGTAGAAACCCCAGCCAGGCTTCAGGAGCACTGGATGACTGCCAACGTGGCAGCGCTCTAGCACCTTTCCTTCCTGGCAGACTGGGTCATGGACTGCTGCTTCACAGAGGAGAGCTTCCTTGCCTTGGGTAGGGATTTAATGACAGCCAAGAGACAAATACACAGTATTTATTACAGCTCTTAACATCAGGCAACTTTCAACCTTTAAACCGTTTGTGAAAATTCCAGTTACAGCACTAGAGCTCTGATTGTAGAATGATTAAATGTAATATTCAGTGTTGGCCTACTTTATTAGAATAAACTGTGCAATTAATCCTCTCACAGACATGTGTAAGGTAGATATAGTAGTCAACTGAATTTGGGGGTGATTATCTGTCTCCAAATACCGCATCTTCTCCAGCTTATTTTCCAGTGATCCCAGCACATAGGTCTAGTTACTTATGCTCTTACTTTTTTTCTTAGTTGTTGCCATGGCAGCAGTTTATTAAATAAATGTAACTGTAGGCACAACTCAGAAGACAACTTTAGCTATTGTTTTTTAGGTTTCACAGTAAGTGGACTAGGAAATTCTTTTATTTTCTAGTAGTAATTCAGTGGATTGCATTTGAGCCAGTTTACTGCCAGAATTGAAGTATAGTTCAGATTTGATTCTTGATGGTTTGGGTTCTAGGATATTTCTGATTTTTCAGTATCCTTGAACTTACTAAGTCTTCCCTTCAATAACTAATACTATTCTCACATACCTCTAATCTTATGCTTCCTTGAAACAGTACTATGCCAGCTGAGTTGTTTACTAAGGATTATTGGAAGGGCCTGGGGGTGTGGGAGTAGAAACTAAAACCTATCAGAAGGTCTGATTCGGCATAAAGCAGAATTTCCTTGTTTTTCCTGCTTTGTCACAGGGCCACTGTGCCCTCTAGATGGTAACATGGGAACCTTGGGGTCCACCTTGGCCAGGCACAATAGCTCAGTGCTCCAGATGTCAGTCCTTGCTACCTCCTTTCCTGCAGTGGTGGAAGTGAGTGCTGGAGCTGGCGCTGGCACTCTGGCAATCCTCAGGTGATGGCTTTCGCCTCCATTTCCTCCACATGCATTAGGTGGACCAGGTCAGAGCTTGCAAGGTCTGCATTCTAGGGACTCCACATTAAGCTCTCAAAAGCTTACATATGCTTGATGTTTTAAAGGAAATGTGGGTCTCTCACAGGCCAGGACTTACTGACTAGTTTTTACTAGACAACCACTTAATACCTAGACATTTCTAAAGTAGCAACTAAGAGAGGATTAAGTTTGCTGGGTTTTTAAAAACCTAATTCCAAAGCATAGAAGAGTGCTCTGCTAGGTAGAAAAGAAGCCCTTTATGATTTGTAGCTACCTTCTGTGCCTGACTTGGTGCCTGTGTGAGGATTAAGCCCTTATTAGTCTGCTCTTGCAATTAATTATTCAAATGACTGAAGTTAAAAAGAATTGCTTTTGTAATAACAATAAAAGTTGTCATCTTCCCTTTTGACAGACTTGTCTCGTTTATAGTCACTTGTGTGGATAACTCATTCCGTACAGCACTGTATGCAATTTAGGAACCACCTAGCAGAGTTGTTGGATAGAACTAAAAAAGCTGTCATGTAAGGCATTTAAGGAAAATTAAGTGCTTGCACAGAGTTCAAGAGGTCATGCCCTGTCTGACTGCTAGCCTCATTCCCACTCCGTCTCTGCTCCAGCCAAACATACCCTGGCCTTTCATCTGAATTCGTGCCATTTCCTACGCCCAAAAGTCTTCCTCCCAAAATTGAATTCTGATGCAGAGCACCTCACAGTCCCACAGCTCTTCCAACATGCTGACACCCAAAGAGCAGTGTAACTTCCTAACGCTGTTCCAAAAACCAATTTCACCTCAAAGTAGATACCTGGGACAGACAAGCTGAAAGAAGCAAAGTACCAAAAGTTTTTTCAAAAGCCGGGTGCCCGTTGCTCACGCCTGTAATCCTAGCTACTCAGGAGGCTGAGCTGTTTGAAGCCAGCCCAGACAAAGTTTGAGACTTAGCGCCAATAATCACACACACACACACACGTGTTCTCCAAGTCTACGGAGGACAACGCCATTGTCTGGCTTAGCCTCGGACTTCCACGGTCTCAAAACCTCACTAGCTGTAAAAGCGCTGCCGCCGCCCGGGACGTCCACGCGGTGCCGAAGGTGGTGCGAACTTCCAGTCCTGCCTCCCAAATAGCGAAGGCAGGGGTCAGTTCAACGAAAATGGAACCTACCCTTCCTTCTCAACACAAGAGAAATACCTCTTAAGACACGCCTAGCATATTTCTGGAAGGTTCCAGGAGGTTCTGGGGACTGGTAACCTCCGGGGAGCAAGATGGGGCGGGAAGGGGCCGTTCAATCCTCTCTGTCCCCCGGGGTCCCCCAGCCAGCCTCCCCGCCGGTAATGGCCTGCGGGATCTCACCGCCCGCCGCGGGGGGCCTGGAGCTCCGAGGCCGGCCGGGGAGGGAGGCGACGCCCCACGCCGCGGCCCAGGGCTCCGCGCTCCTTTCTCAGGCTCCGAGGGAGACGCCGAGCCCCGGGCGGCGGGAAGGCAGGAGAAGCGATGTCCACCATTCCTGCGCCAAGCCCGGAAACCAAATTGCGCGCCTTCCCGGAAATGACGCGATGCGGATCCTGTTTTCCCCCCCCCCGCCTAGTTTCCGGTTCCGGGCCTCCGCGCGTGCGCACGCGGATGCGCCGGCCTCAAGTTCCGCCGCTCGCGCGTTTGCACGAGGCGAACCAGCCATGGAGGACGCGGCTTCCACCTCTCCAGAGGCTCTGGCCGTCGGTGCAACCTCCGCCTCGGCTCCAGACGACCTGACCTCCCTAGAACATCTGGACAAAAGCCAGGTGAGTCCCTGGGTAGGGTAGGTGTTTCGAAAGGAGGGTGTCTGTCCTTTGTGAGGCGTGGTGGTGCCGACGGAAAGGCCTGGAAACCTGGGCCTGCCCGGTGCGGGGCGCGGGGGTCGTCCCCAGAGCGTTCCGGCTAGCCCGTCGGTTATTCCGCACTGACTCTCTCTAGCTTCCCCCCAGGCCTGCGACCTGGCGGTCTGTAATTAGATTGCAAAAATAGTCGGGCACCCGTAATCCCAGCTACTCGAGGGCTGAGATCTGAAGATCGAGATTCGAAACCGAGCTTAGGCAGGAAAGTCCACGAGGTTTTTAGCAACAGTCAATCACCAGGAAGCCAGAAGTGGAGCTGTGGCTCAAGTGGTAGTGGTACAGCGCTAGCCTTGAGCAGAAAAGCCCGGGGACAGTGTTCAAGCCCTGGGTCAAGCCCCAGAACCAGCGCGAATAAAAGAAATTATAAATGGTAACTTAGGGCCTCGGGGTGAGAGCGATCTGGCTTTGGTTCCTTCCTGTTTGACCTTGGACTAGTCTTTTCGCTTTGTTAATTCGTACTTACCACGTCCCTGTCTGCTACCTTGCTTTCCCAGATCGCAGGGAGGAATGCTTATGAAGTGCTTTCGGTGGGGACCTAGCACACAATACGAAGTAAATGCTGCTGTCAGTGGGGTGGGGTCTTTTCCTGTGAATTACTGCCGTCCTCGTCTCCTGTGGTTCAGTCCCATCCTTTTGAGACAGGGTCTCACTTTGTAGCCCAGGTTGACCTCTAACGCTTGATCCTCTTGCTTCTGCCTCCGGAGGTGCTAGGATTACAGACATGCACCACCTCTCGACTACTTAGGCGTTCTTTGATTGGTTCTTAAGTTGCTCTGAGTATAAATTGCACGATTCAGTTGTGGTTGTACAGGTTACCTACTACAATTGAATATGGAGCAAAGCAAGTATGGAGAAGGAGGAGTGAACGTTAACCTGAGAAGTTTATGTTTCTCCTTTGCAGATTAGGAAGGCAGTAGAAGCCCTGTTGGCCCATTCTAAGGCCAGAAGAAGCAAAAGAGCATTGCTTTTGAATGACAGCGAAAATTTATTTTTAATGGTGATATTATGGAAAATTCCCAGTAAAGAACTGAGGGTTAAATTGTAAGTTCTAATTTTCTACTCTTGATCTTTTTATCTACTCATTTATTTGTAGCTTTTAACAGTGGAAATCTGGCATACTCAAAAATCTGAGATCAAATAAAACCACTGCCTTAAAGAATGGTAGAGGGGCTGGGAAGGTGGCTCAGTGGTAGAGCGCTTGCCTTGCATGCCTGAGGCCCTGGGTTCGATTCCCAGCACCACATAAGCAAAAAGAAAAAAGCCAGGAATGGCACTGTGGCTCAAGTGGTAGAGCACTAGCCTTGAGCTGAAGAGCTGAGGGACAGCGCCCAGGCCCAGAGTTCAGGCCCCATGACCGGTCCCAAAAAATAAATAAATAAAAGAATGGTAGAAATGGGGCTGGGAAGGTGGCTCAGGGGTAAGAGTGCTTGCCTCCCATGCATGAGGCCCTGGGTTTGATTTCCTCAGCACCACATAAACAGAAAAAGTGGGAAGTGGTGTTGTGGCTCAAGTGGTAGATCACTAGCCTTGAGCTGAAGAGCAAAGGAACAGCGCCCAGGCCCAGAGTTCAAGCCCCACGATCCAAAAAAAAAAAAAAAGAATGGCAGGAATTTGGCCTGGGTCTGCTGGTGGCTCACACCTCTAATTCTAGCAACTCTGTGATCTGAGGATCACACTGTTCAAATACAGGCAAGGCAGGAAAGTTTGTGAAACTTACCTTAAACAAGCTACCCAGAAAATGGCTCTGTAGCTAACCTTGAGCACAAAGACTTTCAGGCAGCATCCAGGTCCTAAATTCAAGCTCCAGGACCAGCAAAGAAAAGAAAAAAAAAAAGAAATTTAGACATTTTTAGCAGTAAAATGTCTTATAACTTGGGGCCTAGACTTATACTCTTTGAAACAAAAAATAAAGAACCCTTAACAATTTTATATTTATATTTGGGGTACAATTTGAGTCAGTCTTGCTGTCTAGCCCAGCTTGTTCTGGAAATCTGGGTCCTCCTACCTCAACCTCCGCAGTGTTGGGATTATAGGTGTGTACAACCATGTCAGGCTAGCTGTCTCTTCTTAGTCCTAAGACATGTGTTAAAAATTTAAGGAGCTAATAAGTACAAATATACCAGAAGATAACGTTTTAAACCTTGCAATATGGTTATTCTCCCTCCCACATTACAATACATGGGTCACTGTAATAACACAATTACATTATAGTGTTTACATATGTATTGTTCGGGTATCTTTATTTTATTTTATTTGTTTATTTATTTTTTGGGTCTAGTCGTGGGGCCTGAACTCTGGGCCTGGGCACTGTCCCATAGCTCTTCAGCTCAAGGCTAGCGCTCTACCACTTGAGCCACAGGGCCACTCCTGGCTTTTTTCTTTTTTCTTATGTGGTGCTGAGGAATCAAACCCAGGGCCTCAGGCATGCAACGCAAGTCCTCTACCACTGAGCCACCTTCCCAGCCCCTGTATTTTTATTTTACTTCCCAGTTGTCAATTGACATTTTAGCCTCTGGGAGTTCGTAGTAATTTCTTGGAATATAAAATCTTTTCTCTAAAAAATAGCTTGGTTGCTTTTTTTTTTCTTTCTATTTCTTTTTCAGTTCTAGGCTAGGGATGGAACCCAGGCCTGTCACATGCTACACAAGCACTTTACCTCTGCACTAAGGCTCTAGCCTTTTCTTTCCCCTAGGTGTATTTTTTTTTCCCATTGTCAAGGTTATGTACAGAGGGGTTATAGTTACATAAGTAAGGTAATAAGTACATTTCTTGTCAAACTTGTTGTCCCCTCATTTTTCTTCTACTTTCCCTCTCCCCTCACAACACCCCCCCAACTTGTATAGATCATTTCCAACATTATTGTCTGTGTATGTCACTGTTGCCCTAGGTGTATTTCTAAATGGTGTTTTGGTGTAGTGTTTACATAAATGAAGGTTGGTGACATAATGATCTTCAGATGGTGTCTGAAATAACACTTTACTCCTGGATGTCTTCTCATGTGTTTTGCAGGTCCTTGCCTCATAATATTCAGTCAGATTTAGCTGAAATCTGTTTATTTACCAAAGATGAACTTGAATCACCTGAAGATACGGAACGTTTCTATAGAAAGCTTTTGAAGAAGCATGGGATTGAATCCATCTCTCGAGTAGGAAGTAGACTAATACTTTTCCAGATGTTTCAAGGATTTTTAATTACATTGATGTAATACATAATACACTTCTAAGTTGCCAGATTGGCTTCTAACCTGCATCTTCCCCAGTAGTTGGGATTATAGGCATGTGCTGTTAGCTCAGCCGATCCTTCCCAGTCTTAATCTAGGGGTCTTGCTCATTTACCACCATGACACTTACATGGTTCTTGGAACATTTTAGGTGCTTATATGTTTGCTAAACCGTAAAGGGCAAGGTTCTAGGTTCATATTGTTGCCTAAGTATTTTTCCTTTTCTGTATTCTTATTCTTATATTTTTATTGTTTGTATTTTCTAGATCATCCCTTTCCATACTTTAAAGACTGAATATAAAGCATATGAAGCCAAACTCCGCCTCCTGGGGAGTTTTGATCTTTTCCTTACTGATGAAAGAATTAGGCGGCTTTTACCCACGCACATAGGGAGACATTTCTATCAAAGAAAGAAGTAAGTTTCTTAGCAATGACTAAACATCAGCATGAAATGACATGTTTCTTTGTGTGCGTTATTCTTATGCCCATGTGTTTTGTAGAGTTCCAGTACCTGTAAACCTTCTTGCCAAGAATTTATCCAGAGAGATTAACTACTGTTTGGGTGGAACTGTCCTGAACATCTCCAAGAGTGGTTCCTGCAGGTAGGCAGCTAGCATGCGTCGTGTATCACTTCACATTTGGTAGTGACTGTCCACTCTTAAAGGTGCTGTTAATGAAACCATGTTCTTCAGTTTAAAACGAAAGTCTTCTCTCAAGAGTGTTCTGTTCTCATCAGAAAACCAGAAGTGGGGCTGTGGGTGAGAGTTGTATATCACTAGCCTTCAGCAAAAGAGCTAAGGGACAGCGTCCAGACCCTGAGTTTAAGCTCTCCCCTCCCCCCAGAAAAGGAGTAAGTGTTGTATTTGGTTCTCTGGATAGTGGCTGAGTATTGGAATGTGGCCTCTGTGCCTGTGGAACTGAGTTTTTAATTTGATGTGGTTTAATGAGTGAGAAGGACACATGTACCTAGTGTTGTGGTTATTGTATTGGACAGGACAACTCTGGGTATTAAGGAAAGCCAGGGTAAGATCAATGCTTAGAGAGCTGTTATAGTCCTAGGCTTGCATGTTGCGCTGTCAGATCCACCTCAGTCTTGTTACATAATTCCGAATCCATCTTGATCCATCTGGCTGTCTGAAGCATCTCTGATCCCCCTACCTAATGTTGGGCTGAGCTGTATGGGCTTCCCACTCTGCATCTGCTGAAGGGTGGTTTTTAGCGTGAGAATTAATCACATTTCAGTCTTTAAAAATTAGTTTAGAACCCAGTGCTTTTAACATTTTTACATTTTAAAAGAAAAGGCTTAGAATGATGTGTTTTTATTTCTCAGGAACATGCCAGTGCTTTATTTTGAAGCATCAACTTAAATTTTTTTTTAAATGTTCACTGGCTACTGTGTTTGATTCCAGTACTGTACGCATCGGTCACACTGCAATGGAGCCTCAGCACCTCACTGAAAACATTGTTGCTGTCGTGGAAAAGCTGGCAGAAAAGTTGCCAAAGGTACATCCAGTGTGCGGGGCAAGTGTGTTGGTGACTCATGGAAGAAAAGCGAGGAGTAGATGGTTGCTATTCTTTTCTTTGTTTCAGAAGTTGCAGAGCATCAAACTCTTATTCGTGAAAACCGAGAGGTCTGCTTCCCTTCCCATCTTTTCCTCATTTGTCAGCTGTGTGGATGAAAACAGCCCACTATCCTTCAATGGTCTTCAGAGAAAAGTTAGTAGTAGATGTTTAAATACTAGATAGGCTTTTAAGATTCGTTGGGGTTTATGAAGGTATTGAAATGTAAAGATGGAATTACTAAGATAGGTTGTTCAGGAGTCAAACAAAGTGACAGGTGTGGTGTCACCTGTGGTCTCAGCACTCAGGCTGAGCAGGAGGATCCAGAGTTCTGGGGTCTGCTTGGGCTACAGAGCTGGGCTGTAGGGCCCTGTGTGAAAGTGGAGTTGAGGTTCCAGTGTTTATGGTAGAGGTCAAAGCTCTTTGTGTGTGGGGGGGGGGGGGGGCGGGGACTGTGAATACTGAGAGCTACCAGCGCTCATTCTTTATCCTTTGTTTTTCCTACTTATCTTTATCTTCTGTCTGATGTTCTTGGTAGGAAAGAAAGAAAAAAGAGATGAAATTGCGTGCAAAGCAAAAGAAGAAAAACAAAAAGTTGAGGGCAAGAATTCGGAAGTCTACACCAGTCTTACCATGGGACCTGGCATCTCAAGGTGGGGATGATCCAGTGAAGGACCCTGGGTCTCAGAAAAAAAAGCCAGGCAAAGTGAAAGGCCAGCCTAAAGCGACAGGCGAAGTTAACGTCCAGCCTAAAGTGACAGGCAAAGTCAAAGGCCAGCCTACAGTGACAGATGACGAAGACGAAATCCCACAGTTGGTACCAATAGAAGGAACTCCAGCAAAAGAAAATGTCCAGGTATTTTTATTGCTGTTTAATAGTGATATTGAATGGTTTGGTGGCCAGTTGTGTCTGGGCAGGCTCGGTGCTGAGTGATTATTAATGAAAAACATGAGTAAACCAAGAGCCATGTGGTAGCCAGTTTAGTCCATCCCGTAAACACCTGTTGAGGGGTAAGTCATGTTTTGGTTCACAGTGGGACACTTGAACGTAACTGTAGGATAGGCTGTGCACATAGCTGGAGTGGTGTGGGTCACTCTCCCGCACGAGCTATGAGATACAAGCTGCTGCTGTGTTGATGTGGTGGGCCTGAGGTTGAGCCAAGGCCTAGCACTTACCACTTAAAAACACTCCCCGCCCTTTTTGGTTTAATTGTTTTCAGATAGGATCTCACTTTTTGTCCAGGCTGGCCTACGCCATATAACTGGAATGTTAGGTGCACACCTCCACACCCAGTTTTTGTTCATTGATTGAGGGGTTCACAAACTTCATTTGGCTGGCTTTAGAACCAAGATTCTCCCAATCCCAAATGACAGACAAGAGCCATCACTCCATCTTAGAGCATACGGTAGCTTTTCCCCCCTCCCCCCCAGACATGGTCTCCTTTGTACCTCAGTCTGGCTCAATAGTAATTCTATTTTTTATGTGTGTATGTGTTCATGCCATCAGTGAGGCTTGAACTCAGAACTTTATATTCTGTTCCATTCAAGACTGGTGTTCTGGGGCTGAGAAGGTAGCTCAGTAGTAGAGTGCTTGACTTGCATGCATGAGGCCCTGGGTTCGATTCCTCAGTACCACATAAGCAGAAAAAAAAAGAGCCAGAAGTGATGCTGTGACTAACTGGTAGAGTGCTAGCTAACCTTGAGCTAAAGAGCTGAGGGACAGCGCCCAGGCTGACAAAGCCTGGTGCTCTATGACTTGAATGATTGATGCCTCTAGTTTAGCATTTTGCTGATTAATTGGCAACGGAGTCTCAATGGTCTTTTTTCCTGGGCTGGCTTTGAGCCTCAGCCTCAATCCTCCAGGTCTCAGCCTCCTGAGTAGCTAGGATTACAGGCATGAGCCTGGCAGTAATCTTTAAAATATTAGCTTCTTTTTACAAGTGATAGGTTAGGACCTGAAGCGTAGTGTTGGCAAGGATAGGTCAGTGGTAGAGCACCTGGCTGACACGAAGGCCCAGTCCTTTAAACCCATCTAGGAAATAGAATCGTGGCAATTTCATAATTTCAGTGCTTACCTAGAAGCTCAGCTACTAGGAAGACAGGCAGGAAATTAAAACTTCAAAGACTTAAAAATAAACATATGGAGACGATATTATAATAGGTTGATTTTGGGGTTTGTGTTTGTGGCTAGGTTTATATAAAAATAGTTTTGTCTGGTGCCTCTTCTGAACCAGCAGAAAAACTGGAAGTGGAACTCTGGCTCGAGTAGAATGGCAGCCTTGAGAAACAATGCTAAGGGAGAGTACAGAGAGTTCAAGGCTCCAAATACTGGCACACGTACAAAGTTTAGTTTGGTCTTCAGTTGTATCTGTAGACTGGGCAGACTTTGCTGCTAGATCCTTGCTGCATCTTGGGCCTCGAATAGCCTCTTTGAGTTAGAATAGTTCTGCCTTGTGGGTTCTGGCGGCACAGCCTGGGTTCACCAACTGGGAACCTGAAGGGCGCCTTCAAGGGACTCACTAACAGGAAGTCAGGTTGGGGCACAGCTCTCTCTGCACTTAGGAAGTGCTCACTGGTCACTTCCCTTAGGAAGAGGGGCCTCTTGAGAGACCCTCAGACTGCCTTTACAAAGTCTTTAGTAGAAGGCTGGAGGTGTGGCTTTAACAACAGCAACATGCCCAGTAGTCATGAGACAGTGAGTTCTCAGCTTGCCCCTCCTGTAAGGTTAAATTGAACAGCTACTCCTGCCATTGCCAGACTTAACTTTCTTCTCTTGCAGGTGCAAAACAGTGCCACAGCAAAGAAGTCTCCAAAGAAGAGTGTCGGGCCCAGCACACCTGTTGGCAAGAAGAGAAAGGCTCTGCCTACCAGAGAGACCCCTGGAAAAGCTCCAGGGAAGAAGCAGAGGGTGGACCAGAAAGACAAAGTAACAGACTCTGTGCTGGGAAAAAAAGACCTGAGACAGACTCCAAAAAAGCCAGAGGCCAAGTTCTTCACCACTTGTAAGAAATCTGGAAGTAATGATCCCAGCACCCCTAAACAGGGACGAAAAATCCCCTCTGAGGGCCAGTCTAACTAAAAAAAAAAAAAAAAAAATCACTGGCTCTGCCCAGGACTTAACAGTTACCTGAGACTCTGTGTTTTTTTTTAATTGTTATTATAAAGGTGATGTACAGAGGGTTACAGTTAAATAACAGCCTGAGATGCTTTTTTCTAATATAGTTCATTTGGGCACAGCAGGACATGCCTGCCACCGTGGGGTGCTCAGGCTGGGGCCCGCAGGGGCTGGAAAACAGTAAAACCTTGGCTTCCTTGGGCCTGGCTGAGTTCCACCCCAGCACTGGGGGAATAAAGAAGTGAAATTAAAAGTATTTGGATCCCAACCCCCATTGCTACTTTCTCTACGAGTGAGGTTTTAAGAACCTCCATAGGTGATTCTAACCTATACTCCTGTTTGTAAAAGCCAATGGCAAAGTAAAATCTATTTTTCATTGTTCTGTGTATTTGCTGATGTAACAGTCTTCTCTGTGGTCATCATACACAAATAAACTGTAACATCTGTCTGGATGCTTATTGGATAATGAGCATATGTGAGCTGTTTTGTCATTTACTGTAATATTTTTACTTGTGCATCAGTTCACAAGACTGCAAACATTAGCAAAGTAGTGATGAGGGGCTTGATGCACAAGAACCTCAGAACGTAGAAACAGTCTGCCTGTCCCATCTTTTCCCTCTACCTCCTCTGTACAGATAGAGTGGCCGTGCATATCCAGCTCACTTGTGAGGCTTTCAGTGACACTGGCGTTGCACTGCGTTTGAGCTGCATGTGTTCCCAGCTAGGAAGGACTGTCCTTCAGCAGTGCTTCCAAGGGTTACTAGCTCACAAACAGGTGATACCAACATGCTGGTATCAGGTTTATTGGAGACAGTTCTGAAATGTAATGGAAAAGTATCCTAACTCTGGACTTGGGTTTCCAACACTTAAACACTGCAGAGCCAGGCTCCTGTGTCTCTCACATAATCCTAGCTACTCAGGAGGCTGAGATCTGAGGATCAAGGTTTGAAACCAGCCCAAGCAGGAAAGTCCTTGAGACTCTTGCCTCCAGTAAAACTACTCAGAAAAAGCCAGAAGTGGCACTGTGGTTCAAGTGGTAGAGTGCTAGCCTTCAGGGATAAAAAAACAAACTTGGACCCTAAACTCAAGTACCAGGACCGCAAAAAAACAAACAAAAAAACGGGGGTGGGGGGGTTTGCTGGGAAGGTGGCTCAGTGGTAAGAGTGCTTGCCTTGCATGCATGAGGCCCTAGATTTGATTCTTCAGCACCACATAAGCCCCCCCCCCCCACACAAAAAAAAAATTGTGCTGGTCCTGGGGCTTTAACTCCATCTGGGTGTTGTCCCTGAGCTCCTCCTTGTCACTCAAGGCTAGCTCTCTACCACTTAAGCTAGAGCTCCACTTCGCATTGTTAGGTAGTTAATTGGAGATAGTCTCAGGACTTCCCTGCCTGGGCTAGCTTTGAACTGTGATCTTCAGATCTCAGCCTCCTGAGTAGCTAGGATTTCAGGGGTAAGCCCCTAGCATCCAGCTAGAAAGACTTAAATACTTAAGACTCTCAATGGCTCTAGTGCCAGTTGGCACTGAGATCTAAGCACTTAAACTCAGAGCCAGGCTGGGTAGACAAATCCAAGAGACTTTCCAGTTAGCTAGGCAGTAGCCAGACCTAGAGATAAGGCTCCTGTGGTAGGAAGCCAGCCTTGAGTGAAAAGTGAGTTCTAGGCTGAGTTCAAGCCCCAATGTCATAAAATGGCCAAGTAAGCAAGTACAGTTTCATCAAATAAGGGATCAGTGGCCTCATCAGCACCTTTTTGGCATTAGACACATGTAACTGGTCAACCTGTGTCTAAGTAGGAGCCAGATGGTTGTGTGGTTGGCTTCAAACCTCTATTAAATCTAAGGCTTTGAGTAGGATTACAGGCATGAACCACCAGCACTTGATCAGCAATGAAGATCAACCAGAGTAGACAGATTCTTCCTTTAGTTTTCCTATTAGAAACTACTGTGGCATTCGTGGCCAGTTTCTCCTTGTTAGGAGTCTTCCACATCTGGAGAATATTGAAGGCATACCGGGTGCCTGTGGCTCACGCCTGTAATCCTAGCTACTCAGGAGGCTGAGATCTGAGCCAGCCCATCAGAAAACTGGAAGTGGCCCTGTGGCTCAAGTGGCAGGGCTCAAGAGCTGAGGGACAGTGCCCCAGGTCTAGTGTTTCAAGTCCCACAACCAACCCCCCCCCCCAAAAAAAAATTGATCGAGATTCCTTCATTGATCCACTTCATTGAACAGCTGCAGGCAAACATTGCATTGTCCAATCCAGTGGTCCTCCTGAGGCACATTTGGAGGACCCTAGCTCATGTCCTGCATGGGACTGCTGGGTTTGGGTCTGGAATCATCCTCATGTAGAACACCTTGGACCACTGTATAAGCCTGGCTGCTGGAAGATCTATGGCAGCAGCAGGTGTTTTCCTCCTTGTCCTTAGCAGCCTGTTAGTTTTCTTCAGAGCCAGTGAAGACCAGAAGGGATTCAGGAGACGGGCTGGAAGTACAGGTGAAGGGCAGGCGTCCCCTACACAGTGCAGAGTCCTGAGCATCAGAACATCTGCATGTCACTCCAGACTGGACCAGGGCATCTTACATCCCTTGAAGTTTTTAAGTCTTCTAGGTGTATTTTATTTATTTTTATCGGTTGCGGGGCTTGAACTCTGAGCTTGGGCATTGTCCCTGAGCTCTTCAGCTCAAGGCTAGTGCTCTACCACCTGTGCCACAGCACCACTTTGAGTCTTCGGGTGGATAGTTGGTGATAAGGGTCTCACATTCTTTCCTGCCTGGGCTGGCTTTGAACTTTGATCCTCAGATCTCAGATCCTGAGTAGCTCAGATTATAGGCGTGAGCCACCAGTGCCTGGTCTCAGCATATTTTAAATACTAATAAACATTGACTTTTAAAAACATATATTCTTTCTCTTTCTTCCCTCTCCCCTCTTTTTTTTTTTTTCATTTTCTGATCTGCCAAGTTAGCTGGAATTGTGAACAGGAGTCAATATGCCTAGTGGCTCCCCCTGCCCCTTTCCTATTCTAACATCCACTTCCAAGTTCACACCTGGGAGGAAATCCTCAAATAGCATTTTTTTTTTAAAGACAGGGTCTCATGTGGCTGTTCTCAAATGGCAGATCCTCCTGCTTCAGCCTTCCAAATACTAGATTACAGGCATGTACTACTGTGTGTGGCTATCAAATAGCTTTTGAAGAATCGGTAGGGATGTCTTTTTGTTGCTGTTTGTGCTTCTGGGGATGGAACCCTGAGCCTTGCATATGATAATCAAGGGCCATATCCACTGAGCTACATCCTCAGCCTTAGGATCTTGCCAGAAGAAACCATTGCTGTTACACGGTGGTTCAAACCAAGTGCCCTGAGGGTAGTTGACACAGAAGGTGCACTTCCAGGTGACCTGAGTGTCAGAGCCTGGAGGCCCCATTGCTGAGGCATCTTGGGGTCATTCCAAGAGTCAGAATGGAGGGAGAAGAGCCATCAGGTCACCGAAGACAGAAGCCATAAAATGGAGCCTGCACTCCAACTTTGGGGCCTGGGAGGCTGCAGAAGAGAATCGGACCTGGATCTGGAAAACCAGAAAATGCTCACTTCCCAAGGTTCCTCCTCTCTCAGAAGCGCCTCAGGTGTGTGTGGGTGGGTGGGTGGCTGGTGGTGTAGAATTAAATAATTTCCTGCCTATTAAATGTGACATTTTTGGGGCTGGGAAGGTGGCTCAGTGGTAGAGCGCTTGCCTTGCATGCCTGAGGCCCTGGGTTCGATTCCTCAGCACCACATAAGCAGAAAAGAAAAGCCGGAAGTGGGGCTGTGGCTCAAGTGGTAGAGCACTAGCCCTGAGCTGAAGAGCTGAGGGACAGCAACCAGGCCCAGAGTTCAGGCCCCACGACCGGACCCCCCAAAAAAAAAAAAAAAAGTGACATTTTTCACAAATACAAGCAGGGAACTGATACACTGTGGCCACCCAGTATCAGATGTAGGTTGAGAAGCAAAACGCTGCCTTCTCTCTTCTTTTGGTGTCTTTTCATTTTTGATACTGAGGCTCGAACCCAGGACATGGTCTAGCAAGTCCTTTGCTACTGAGTTACATCCAGGCCCATTTTCCCTCTTCCCCTCCCTCTCCCCTTCGGTGTGCCTTTCCTGGCCTGGACTCTTTGAGCTCTTTTGCTCAAAGACTAGAGCTGTACCACTTGGAGCCACAGTCTCTGACTTTCCTGCCCGGGCTGGCTTCGAACCGCGATCCTCCGATCTCAGCCTAGCAGCTGGGACTGCAGGCGGGAGGCGCCGGCGCGGGGCGCGCACCCGGTCCCCGTCCCCGGCCGCCACCCGCAGGGCCGGTTTCCTCTCCTGTCATTCACTATTTTAAGTGCGCGTTACCCGCACCGGGCGTCCGGGCGCGGTCTGCGGGGCTCTGTCCGGTTGGGTAAACCGATGTCCCGGGTACGGAGCGATGACACAGGCGGCCGCGGCGGCCCAGCTCCGCGGGGACTCGGGCGACCCCCGGACGCCTCCCCCGGCCAGCACACCCGGAGCCCGTCGCTCGACTAACCGCCGCCGTCGCTTCCGCCGCCGCCGCCGCCGCCGCCGCCGCCGGGAGCCCGACGTGGCGCCTCCGCCTCCGGCCCGACGCTCCCGGGCGCAGCCAATGGCAGCGGCTCCCGGACGCGGGGCGCGGCCTCCCGCCGCCAGGGGGCGCCGCCGCGGGCGCAGCCGGGAGAGCCGCCGCCGTCAGCGCCGCGGTGGCCGAGGGAAGCTGCGAGCGTGCGAGCGGACGAGCCAGCGAGCGCCGGGCCGCCGCCGCCGCCGCCTCCGCCGCCATCGCCCCCGCGCCCCCCGCCGCCGCGTCCCGCCGCCCCCGGCGCGCGCTCCCGCAGGTAGGGGGAGGTCCCGCGCGCGCCGCCGCGTGCTCGTGCCCGCGTTCGCGCGCCGCCGCCGCCGCCGCCGCTCGGGTCCGGGCCGGGTGGGGGAGGGGCGCGGCGGGGAACGCGGGCCCCGGAAGCCGCGGGGATGACGGGGGTGAGGGGCGGGAGGGTCGCGCGCGTCCCCGGATCCGGAGGCAGCAGGGCGCCCCCTCCCTCCGTCCCCCCCCCCCCAGCCGGGAAGGACGCCACCCCGTCCCGTCCTCTCTGTAGTTACTGCGCTTGAAATACCGTGACGGTCCCCCCTCCCCCCGCCCCCGGGGGTGCTGGGTGGGCGTGGGGGCGCCCGGGGCTGGGGCGGGAAGGATGCCCGGCAAGTGGGTTCCGCCTCGACGGCGAGGCGCACCCCTCGGGCGGGCGGGCTGGCCGCGGGCCCCGCCGGGGGGGGGGTCTGCGCCGGGCGGGCACGGAGACCTGTCAGTTCCCATCAGCGCGCGTTTCCGGTCCGGGCCGGGCCGGTCCGGGCCGGGTCGGGGTGGTCCCCGCAGGGGTGTGGTCACTCGGGGGCGGGGCGCGGCGGCGCCTGCGCCCGGATTGGGTGACTTTCCTGGGCGTGGGGCGTCTTCCGGGTGGGGTGGGGGATGCTGCGCCCGAAAGGGTCGGTGTCCCCGGGACGGGGGCGCGCCGGGCCTGGAACGGAGATGGGGCCGGGCTGAGCTGTCAGAGGTTTAGGATGGGGAAGAAGAAAGGTCAGCTTGCACACTCGCGTGCCCGCCGGAGTTGGTGGAGCAGCCGCTGGATCCGTGGCGCCTGGACGGTTGAGCGGGGCCGGGCCGGGCTGGCACCGTGTGTGGCGGGCCTGGGCCTGGGCGTCGGGGTGCAGCCGCCGGAGGCCCTGCTTGCTGGAGGCCTCTCGGGAATGGGTGCCACCCCACCCCGGTGGATCTGGAGAGCTGAAGTTGCTAGGTGGTGTGTCCCGGTTTGCAAGGTGCAAATCCTTCTTTTTGTGGGTCGTGGGGCTTGAACTCAGGGCCTGGGCGCTGTCTCTGAGCTTTTTCACCCAAGGCTGGTGCTCTACCACTTGGAGCAGCCAGCTCTACTTCTGAGAGTTTTCTGGCGCTTAGTTGGAGATAGGAGTCTCCTGGACTTTTTCCTGCCCCGGCCGGCTTTGGACCGCGATGCTCAGATTTCAGCCTCCTGCAGTAGCTTGGATGACAGACGTGAGCCACGGGCACCGGGCCTAGTGGTGGAATTCTGTCTGGAGAACAGTTTCCCCTTGTTATGTGCTGGACTGGTCGGATGAGTTCAGAATCTAATGATGAATATTATCAACGTGCGTGTGTTCTCCACAAAGCCACATTGGATTTCCTGTTGTCCACGTGAACAGCAGGCTTCTGCCCTGCTGTGTACCTGTGGCTTGAGGTGTGTGCCTGTGTAAGTGGGTGTGTGTTTGTGTGTGCATGCTTGGGGGTTACACCCTGACCTGCACCCTCTTTCCTGTCATTCTGGGGACACTTGTCAGGTTTTGCTAGTAAGAGAATCAGTTGTTACTTCTGGCTGATTTGGGTTGCGTTAACAGTGTTGCAGGTGGAGGAATCTGTTAGGATAGACGCTTAAAGCTGGGAAGATTTGAACATTGTAATAAAAGAAGTAGAAACGGAATATTTCTGCCACTGGTTGCACAAGTCCTCTGAAATGGGCTTTCAAACAAAGTATGCAAGGAAAGTCTAGATAATATCTTCAAGTGCTCAGTGTAGATGAAATTAGTTTTTCTCTTGAATCTTAGAGGTGAAATATGTGTTCTTTAAAGTGTAAAATATTAGCAATAACTTGCGGTGTTTTCATTTTTTTTTTTTTTTTTTGTTGGTCATGGGGCCTGAATTCTGGGCCTGGGCACTGTCCCTCAGCTCTTCAGCTCAAGGCTAGCACCCTACCACTTGAGTCACAGCGCCACTTCCGGCTTTTTTCTGCTTATGTGGTGCTGAGGAATCGAACCCAGGGCCTCATGCATCCGAGGCAAGCACTCTACCACTGAGCCAACTTTCCAGCCCCTTGAGGTGTTTTCAGATCAAGAAAAAGCCATATATAATTACTATTTATTTATTAATTGTCAGTTGTGGGGCTTGAACTCTGGGCTTGAGGACTGTACTTGAGCTCTTCAGCTCAAAGCTAGCACTCTACCATGTTAGCCACAGTGCCACTTCAGGCTTTTTCTGTTTATGTGGTGCTGAGTAATCAAACCCAGAGCCTCATGCATGCAAGGCAAGCACTCTACCACTGAGCCACCTTTCCAGCCCATAACTACTATTTATTATGTATTCATTAACTTACAATTTAATGCCAGTGACCCTTTGTCTGTTTTAATTCTCTCATTGCCTCCCTCCCTGGCACAATATTTTTATTTTGAAATGGAGTCTTGCTGTGTAGTCCAGGCTGGCCTCTAACTCTCAGTCCTCCTACTTCAGTCTCCTGAGTCACATGTCTTATTAAGTGAGGTGTTTTTTGTTAATGTAAAGAAACCAGACTAGGGGAGGGAAGGGATGTTAGGGGAAAAACAAAGGAGGAGGTAACAATGCTTGATAGGAAATGTGCTCATTACTTTACTCATGTAACTGTAACCGGTCTATACAGTATTTTTACAATAAAAAAACATATAAAAAAGAGAATGACCAATAAAAAAGAATCATTAAAAAAAAAAAGAAACCAGACAACAAATTTTGCCTTTGAATTTTATGAGTTCAGTACTGTGTTGTCTAGTTGGCTAATTAGTGCTAATTAATTTCACGGAGCCCGTGAAGCCTTCAGGAGCCATGGATGGAAGGCAGGGCCAGCAGAACATTGCTGTTTGGCCAATAGAAAAGTGCAGGCGTGGGCTGGGGTGTGGCAAGTGGCAAAGCACTTGCCTAGCAGGTGCAATGTCCTGGGTTCAATCCCCAGTACCAAAAAAAGAAAAGTACAAGTGTTATACTTTATGAAAGATCCTCATTTGGAGTTTGCACTCTGAGGCATTTGCTAGGGAGATGAGTGCCTTGTGGGGTTGGGGGTGGGGGTGTACGTTTCACTCTAGAAGGAAAACCTCTTGAGGGTCCTGGGCATATCTTGGGGTCTGTGTGACCCCAAGCAAGTCCGATTATCAGATTTCACTGGGGCTCTTTCCTGTTGAGTCTCTGGAAGAGAGTGTGGATGAGACTTAGTGTCCTTGTGAACCACTTGGTTGGCCAGCACTCGTTTCACTTTACAGAATCTCAAAATCTCTCTTTCTCCCCCTCCTTCCCTTTTTTTCTCTCTCTAGCTCTCTGTCTCTCTGTCTCTGTCTCTGTATATATCTCAGTACTGGGATTTGAACTCAGCCTTGTGCTTGTTAGGCTGGTGCTCTACCACTTGAGCCACATTGTGCTGGTCATATTAAAGATGTAGTTGATAGGACTTTTCTACCTCCCCTGGCTTTAGAGCTCCATCCTCCAGATGGTTACAGGTGTTAGTGATCAGTGTCCAGTTTCTACCAGCTTAAAACTCCAGGCCTGGGTATTCTTTCTTACATCTTTTTGCTCAAGCCTAGTGCTTTACTACTTTGACCCACAACTCTACTTCCAGTTTGGGGGTGGTTAATTGAAGATAAGAGTTCATGACTTTTCTGCCAGGCTGGCATTGAACCGTGATCCTCAGATCTCTGCCGAGGCTGCTTTTGGCTTTGAACTGTGATCCTCAGAGCTCAGCCTCCTGAGTAGCTAGGAAAACAAGTGTGAGCCACCAGCACCCTACCTCCACCAGTACTTTTTTTTTTTTGGTTGGTCGTGGGACCTGAATTCTGGGCCTGTGTGCTGTCCGTTATCTCTTCAGCTCAAGGCTAACACTCTACCGCTTGAGCCACAGCGCCACTTCCGGTTTACTAGTGGTTTATTGGAGATGAGAGTCTCACAAGCTTTCCTGCCTGGGCTGTCCTTGAACCGCAATCCTCAGATCTTATCCTCCTGTGTAGCTAGGATTATAGGCGTGAGCCACCGGTGCCCGGCTCCACTAGTAATTTCTTTTTTTTTTTTTGGGGGGGGGGGTCCGGTCGTGGGTCCTGAAGTAGGGGCCTGGGCGCTGTCCCTCAGCTCTTCAGCTCAAGGCTAGAGCTCTACCACTTGAGCCACAGCGCCACTTCCATTTCTGCTTATGTGGTGGTGAGGAATCCAGCCCAGGGCCTCATGCATGCAAGGCAAGCACTCTACCACTGAGCAACCTTCCCAGCTCCTCTACCAGTAATTTCTAAGTAAATAGTTCCATCAAGAAAACATGCTGGGGGCTGGGAAGGTGGCTCAGTGGTAGAGCGTTTGCCTTGCATGCCTGAGGCCCTGGGTTCGATTCCTCAGCACTACATATGAAAAAAGACGGAAGTGGCACTGTGGCTCAAGTGGTAGAGTGCTAGCCTTGAGCTGAAGAGCTGAGGGACAGCGCCCAGGCCCAGAGTTCAGGCTCCACAACCGGACCCCCCCCCCCCCCCAAAAAAAAAAAAAAGAAAGAAAAGAAGACATGCTGGAGCAAGGGCGGGACAGGAAGTTACCTGATGCTGGATGCCATGGCCTCCATCAGGAAGTTACCTGATGCTGGATGCCATAGCCTCCATCAGGAAGTTACCTGATGCTGGATGCCATGGCCTCCATCAGGAAGTTACCTGATGCTGGATGCCATGGCCTCCATCAGGAAGTTACCTGATGCTGGATGCCATGGCCTCCATCAGGAAGTTACCTGATGCTGGATGCCATAGCCTCCATCAGGAAGTTTTTGGGTTTTTTTTCACAAGAAGAGAGAAACTTCCACAAACTGTCCATTAGAGTGTTAGAAGAAGGTGGGCAAATGTATACAGTAATGTTTCTATACCTGGTTTGCAGCCCATTAAGCTGGCACCGTGCCCACTCCACCCCCAGACCCTGGGAAGTGTTGGGAGGATTAGCTAGGACCCTGTTCCTGGACAGGCTTGTCAGTAATGTTACTTAAACTGTGCAGTAGATGCCTTACAGTTGTTGAAGAGAAGCTGTAGAATGGAAGGCAGACTCCTGGTTAATGTTTTTTTTTTCACTTGAAAGTCAAGAATACTTTCCTAGGCAAGAGTATCAACGCTGTGTTGCCTTCCCTGCAACTCCTCTGGTCAGTGTTAAGATCTTCAATTTCCGCAGTACTGGGGTTTGAACTACAGGCATCACACTTACTAGGCAGGTGCTCTGCCACACATTCATAGGCAGGCTGCTTTGTATTAAGGACTGGCATCTGAACACCTGGAAAGCTTTCCTGGCGCGACACCCATGTCCTGGTGTTGCTTTCCTGGCAAAGCCCTTTGCTTGTGCCCATCTGCTCCGTGTGGCATGCCTTGAGCGGGTCTGTTGCACACATGGTGAGGGAGTGTGGAAAGTACTCGCTCATCTGTCAGCATCCAGCCCCGGCCACCCGAGATGGGTTCTGCCTGGGCAGAGCCCCGGCCTGGGGCCAGCCTGTCTGGCTTGGAAAGCTAGCTAGCTCTGCCACTTCCTCCCCAGGATTCTGGGTTCCTGTAGCTTCACTTTGTCAGGATTAAATGACTTAATTCTCCGAGAGCTCTGAGCCAGTGGGAGCCAGCTCCCTCCCGTCTCCGTGCGGTACAGACACAGCCCTGGGGTTTTCTCTAACCTCAGCCTGCTTCTTCTCTCATCCAGAGGTGCATGCGTCTCGTGTGGGCATCTTCTTATTGCTCTGTACTAGGCGTTCAGACGTGCTTTGCAGGGGAGGCACAGACCACACTCAGAGTCACAGTGCATATGGGGTACATTCTACCCTTCTCCAACTTCTTAGTGAGCAGGAGATGAAGTCAGCTGATGCCAGGAAGGTGGAATTCCAGCCTGTGATGCTTTAGTTCACTTAGTGGCCCTAACTCCTACTTAGCTATTCACCCTCCACCCTTCTCTCCACCCTCTGGCTCCTGGGGAGCCCCCGTGGTTTCAGGTTCCTCTCTGCTTCTGGCCATTCCCTGCCAGGCATGCTCCTTCCTCTCTGCTCTTGTGAGTTGTCTATCTGGTCAACCCGAGGCCTCTGGACTTGTGTGAGTCCTCCTTCTCCCCTCCTTCATTCCCCACAGAGCAGTTGTTCATAGAGTCAGGACTGAGAAAGACAATGTAGCATAGGCTCAAGCCTGTAATCATAGCTACTTGAGAGGTGGAGATTAAGGCATTATAAGTTCAAGGCCAGCCTAAATTTGAAAGGCTATCTGTCAGTCAGTGGCTGGTCATGGCTGCTTGTGCCTCACATCCCAGCAGCAGAGGGAGCCCAAATAGAGGCCAGCCTGCTGCAAGTGATACCCTTTGTGTGTGTGTGTGTGTGTGTGTGTGTGTGTGTGTGTGTGTGTGTGTGTGTGTGCGCGCGTGTGCGTGTGCGTGCGCGCGCGCACACACGCGCACACACACACACACACACCCGTGTACAAGTATACAAGTCCAGGGGCTTGAACTCTGGGTCTGGGCTCTGTCCTTGAGCTACTTTTGTTCAAGGCTAGCTAGCACTCTACCACTTGAGCTCAGTTTTTTTGAAGTTTAGCAGAGATAAGAGTCTCACAGACGTTCCTGCTCAGGCTGGTTTTGAACAGCAATCCTTAGATCTCAGCCTCCTGAGTAGCTAAGATTACAGGCATGAGCCACCTGCGTGTCCAGCTAGACCCTTTCTGGTAAAGCAATACAGGAGACTAGTGGGGGCTGGGAATGTGGCTCAGTGGTAAAGTGCTTACCTAGCATGCATGAAGCCCTGGGTTCGATTCCTCAGTACCACATACACAGAAAATGCCAGAAGTGGTGCTGTGGCTCAGGTGGTAGAGTGCTATCCTTGAGCAAAAGAAGCTCAGGGACAGTGCCTAGGCCCTGAGTTCAAGTGCCAGCATTGGTTAAAAAAAAAAAGAAAAAAGAAAGGGAGGGCTGGGAAGGTGGCTCAGTGGTAGAGCACTTGCCTTGCATGCATGAAGCCCTGGGTTCGATTCCTCAGCACCACATAAGCAGAAAAAAAGGCCAGAAGTGACTCTGTGGCTTAAGTGGTAGAGTGCTAACCTTGAGCTGAAGAGCTGAGGGACAGCGCCAGGCCTGGAGTTCAGGCTCCATAACCGACAAAAAAAAAAGAAAAAGAAAAAGGAAGGGACTGTTGAAGTGGTAAAGTGGTAGAGCATCTGCCTGCAAAAGCAAGACTCTGAGTTCAAGTCTCAGTATTGCCCAATAAATAAATGTATGAATGAGTGAACAAATAAATAAATAATAAACCCTTTGTTGAAAAAAATTCCCTGATTGACATCAGGAACTAAACATACCCAAGCCCTTTATCTGACAGAAGTTCTTAGAAAGACATGCACTTGAGGCCTCCTAAGCTTCCAGGGTGTGGACAGCAAGAATGTCTGCCCCAGGCCGGGTTAGGTTAGGGAAGCACACGTGTACTAACACAGAGTGACCGACCACTTCATGTGGAAAGCCAAGTGCAGGCCCCGTTCACAGCCCTGGATTGTGTGAAAACAACACATGTCCTTTCAACTTTTTGCTTGAAGATAATTATAGACGCACAGGAAATTGCAAAAGTAGAACACAGAGTCCTGCTCCCCACATGGGTGACATAACTGTAGCACACATTGCCTCCAGGAAGTCGCCGTTGGTATGGTGCTGTCCCGTGCCACAGGATGAGCTCCATCCCCCCCCCCCCATCAGTGCCTGTGCACTGGGGGCATCACATCTGCACACGCATGGGATTGCAACCTGTGTCGGTGTCACATTCATCAGGTGAATCAGGCGAAACAGCGGTTGATTGCCCTTGGGGAGGGCTTAATGTGGTGGCCAAAGGTGACAGGGTATGAGACACTCTTTTTCACTGTCATATTAAACTTGTGTGTGTGTGTGCGTGTGGGTCCCTGAGCTTCTGCTCAAAGCTAGCATTCTACCACTTTGAACCGCAATGCCACTTCCAAGCCTGTGTCTGTGAGCGGACTCATGTCTCAAAAACCTTACAGCCTCAAATGCAGTTAATACAAAGCTTATAAAGGCAAAACCACATGATTAGTATAAGGAACTAACCCCAGGTGCTGTGTTCAAGCACCAGGACCAGCCTGTAATCCTAGCTAGTTCACGCCTGTAATCCTAACTACTCAGGAGGCTGAGATCTGAAGATCATGGTTCTAAGCCAGGCTAGGAAGGAAAGTCTGTGAAACTCTTATCTCTAATAAACCACCAGAGAACTGGAAGTGACACTGTGGCTCAAAGTGGCAGAGTGCTAGCCTTTTTTTTTTTTTTTCCCGGTCGTAGGGCTTGAACTCTGGGGCATGGGTGCTGTTCCTGAGCTCTTCAGCTCAAGGCGAGCGCTCTTCCATTTGAGCCATAGCACCATTTCCGGTTTTCTGGTGGTTTATTGGAGATAAGAGTCCCACAGACTTTCCTGCCCGGGCTGGCTTTGAACCATGATCCTCAGATCTCAGCCTCCTGAGTGACTAGGATTATAGCCGTGAGCCACAGGCGCCTGGCTAGAGTGCTAGTCTTAAGTGAAAGAGCTCAGGGATATCACCTAGGTCCTGAGTTCAAGCCCCAGGACTGAGAAATTTAATAAAGAAAATTGTGTGCTTGCTGTCCACACTTCCCAACACCCTGAAGTCTTCCTCTGTTCCCCTGTGTAGCTTGTTGGGATACTTTAGAGCAAATGCAGGCATCTTGCTTTTCTCCTGTGAGCACCTCAGCACACCTAGAACTTGTCTCCCGCATAGCAGACCTTTAGAACTGGCAGTATTTTCCAGGCAGTTATCTGCCTCACAGATTTACAAGGAAAACTTCCAGGGGTGTCTGTATCAAAACGGTTCCAGCTCTGCGCTTATGGTGGGGGCACTTCCGCTTTGTGTCCCCCTGGCTGCCCTGGTGGGCGTGGACTTCCACCTTGTGTCCCCAAGGTGGTCCAAGCCAGTGATTTTTGTACTAGAGTGTCATCTCAGTGTCGGACATCCCAGATGGCCTTCCCTGCCTGTCACCAGGGACACTTGGCGATACGTGGCGACCTGTTGGTTGTCACAGATGGTGGGGTGACTTGGAGTCAGGAGCTGCCACATCCTGATGGCACTTGTCTGGCGCCAAGCACCAGCCCTGGGGGAGCTGACACTCCCTCAAGTGTGTGACTTGTAGGAATTGCCTGGTGCCTGCTATGCCCTGCTCTGTGCGGGCACACCCTCCTGACATCTGCCAATGCTGGGGTGAACACAAGCCCTCCATCCAGGAAACTCCCCTTGGAGTGACTTTCAGGGTGTCCACAGAAATGGTTTAGAAATTTGTGGGTTCTTGGGGGGAGGTCTAGAACCCTTGCCTAACTTGGAGATGGGTGTGTCCACCACTCATTCAAGGGGTGGTGAATTAGGGGTGTGGTGAAGGTGATCCAAGAGCCCAGGTGCCTGATGGGATGTGTGTCCTGTTCCTTTGCAGACCGTGCTCCTAGCAAGCGGATGTGCGGGGTAACATGTCCAGCGTGTCCGAGGAGAGGAGGAGAAGGCAGCAGAACATCACGGAAGGACTGCAGTTCATCCAGTAAGAGAGCCGAGCACGCGTGTCCTGCCTCCTTCTCCGGGCCTTCTTGTCTGGGGTGGGGGGTTGCACATTTTTGCCAACATGGAGAACTTTGCTAGAGTGTAACAGGTCCTGGTAGTGGGGTTAGACGTGACATTTGTGCTCTGAAGTGAGCCTTGCTGTTGCTGGTTTTGAGGGCGTCCACAATACAGAACTGGAGTGTTTTTGCGTTTGTCTTCCTCCGTCTGTCTGCACGGAGTGCTGAGGTCCTCTGACATTAGGAAATGTGCTAGTGACGGGTGACAGCCCTGGGGGTGGGGGGCAAGCGGGCGGATCAGAAGGAGACATTGTCCTCCAGTAAATTGGATCAGATAGTGTTAGTACTTCTGAACTATTTTTAACCTCTTTGGTATTTGAAGAATTAGGCCTTCTTTTAATAGAAGTACATTTGAAAGGATCATGGTATACTTAAGAAAATAACAGGAATAACTTAGATTTTTTTTTCTTCATAACAACCACAACAAATACTATTGGTAAAGGAGATGTGAATCTTTCTTTAAAAAGTGCTTTATGGAGCTGGGCGACAGTGGCCTGTAATCCTAGCTACTCAGGAGCTGAGGTCTGAGGATCACAGTTCAAAGCTAGCCTGGGCAGAAAAGTCCCCAGAAGTGATGTTGTGGCTCAAGTGGTAGAGCACTAGTCTTGAGCACAAAGAGGCTCAGGAACAGCACCCAGGCCAAGTTCAAGTCACAGGATCAGCGTGCACGCGTAAACACACATAGACAGACACACACACACACACACACTCAAATGTGCTTTGTGCCAGCAGCAAGCTGATTGGATCCACAGTTTAAGAACATGTGTTTAAGAACATGTTCTGCTATGTGCCCAGTTCTGACTTTTTTTCTTGTTCTTAGGTCTCCACTGTCATACCCAGGGACCCAGGAACAATATGCGGTAATGACCCTGGGAAGGTGGGCTTGGAGGTTGGGCGTGGATTGCTGGGGAGCTGTAATCTTCAGCAGAGGCTGCCACACTCTGATCTTGTGGCTCAGATCAGCACAGCTGCCCTTGTTCACAAATAAAGTTTTATTGAAATGTCCCAGCCACATGCTGCTGTTGGTATATTATCTGTGGCTGCCTTTGTGACAATGTGGCCATTGGGACAGAGATCATACAGCCCAAAAAGGCTTAAAATAATCACTGTTTTAGCATTTATGGAAAACTTTGCCAAACTCTGCTAGGCAGCCTTTGTGGAGGTATACTTGGACAGTTACCCTGTATTTGCTGAGTTCGTATCCTTGGAATTAGTTTATCTTTAGTTTCTTGAAAACTGCCCCTCATTTTACCAAAGATAAGTGGTGCAAGATTGGAGAGGAGAGGGTTGGGTGTGTGGTTTTTATTTGGAGGACAGACGATCTGGATAGCTCAATGGGAGGGGTTCATGGTGGGCAGCCCTGCCTGCAGGACATAATGGCCAGCTCTTTGAGTCTTGAGCAATAACCAGCAGCTGGTCACCCATGGCTTCTCATCTCTGAGGATTTGGTGCTACTACCTGTCATCTTAGTGCCTTGACCGGCTCTCTCTTCCCTTCCTCTTCCATTCAGTTCTTTCCTCTTCCTCTTCCCTGCCTCCATGCTGATGCGGAGTCAGGAAGTATTGAAAGAATCCCTTTCATTTTGTACATGGGGCAGGGGCTCACAGACTGTCACGGTCCTACTAGCTGTTAATCTAGTCAGCTTAGACACGATTTCATAAAATTAGACCAGAAAAGTTTTGACTATTTGTGATATCTTCTGATGGAAAAGGACTTTTGAAATACCTTAGCAATGACAGACAAAACTTCAGTACCAACCCAGAGAATGTCCACCCTTACTAAAGAAAATGACTTAGCTCCCATCCCTCCCCCAAACCAGTAAATAACCAGCCAAATGCTTTACCTAAGACGCCAGATAGATGGTCTCAAAGCTGTGAAAACCAAAAGTCACACAAAGAAAAAAGGATAAATAGTATTTTCCTGCTAGAAACTGTCCATTGACACACATGCGCACGTACAGGCACTCATTTACATATGCATGTCTTCTGTCAGAGGTGAGGTTAGTGTAAAGCCATGTGCTGACATGTTCCTCATTGTGTAAGCGGGACCTGGCTCGGAGCGATCTTGCTGTGGTAGGCTCAAAATCAGAGATGGGCACCAGCGCCTCTTGACTTAAAAAGGTCAGAGTCCCTACCAGGAGTCACCCATGGCTCCGTCCCAGCATCTTAGCTGCTTCCCTGCCCCTGTCAGATGGGTTCTGAGAAGTGTTACATTTAAACCATAGAGGGTACTTAGACCCCCATCTTGCTTACAGAGGCAGCTTTCTCATTTTAGGTTTATTTGCGTGCTCTTGTGAGAAATCTTTTTAATGAAGGAAATGATGTTTATCGGGAACGTGATTGGACTAGCTCAATAAGCCAATATACAGAAGCCTTGAATATAGCTGATTATGCAAAGTCTGAAGACATTTTAATCCCTAAAGACATCATTGAAAAACTGCATATAAATCGTATTGCCTGCTATTCTAATATGGTGAGTGTGTTTTTTGAAACAGTGTTTCTAGAGGGAAGATCTTCCTCATTGATATGTAACGTTTCTCTGTGTATGTGGGGTATGGGATGTGTGTTTGAACCCTAACACTGATCTATATCCCCAGCCATCTTCTAGCTTTCTTAAAAAACACAGCATAGGGCTTGGAAGGTGGCTCAGTGGTAGAACGCTTACCTTGCATGCTTGAGGCCCTGGGTTCGATTCCTCAGCACCACATAAGCAAAAAGAAAAAAGCCGGAAGTGGCGCTGTGGCTCAAGTGGTAGAGCACTAGCCTTGAGCTGAAGAGCTGAGGGACAGTGCCCAGGCCCAGAGTTCAGGCCCCACGACCAGACACCCCCCCCCCCCCCCATAAAAAGACCACAGCTTATTGTTACCTGTGCTCACCCATGACATTTTTTTTCTCCTCCTCCTCCTCCTCTTCCTCCTCCTCCTCCTCCTCCTCCTCCTCCGCCTCCGCCTCCTCCTCTTCCTCCTCGTCTTTCTTTTTTGCTAGTCATGAGATGAGACTTAAACTCAGGGCCTAGGCACTATCCCAGAGCTTTTCTGCTTAAGGCTAGTGCTCTACGACTTTGAGCCACAGCTCCACTTCCACTTGCCTGCCTGGGCTGCCTTTGAACAGTGGTCCTCAGATCTCAGCCTCTCCAGTAGTTAGGATTATAGGCGTGAGCCATCAGCGCCTAGCTACCCATGACTTTTTTTTTTGGTCAGTAGTGGAGGCTGAACTCTGGGCCTCGGTGCTGTCCCTCAGCTCTTCAGCTCAAGGCTAGTGCCCTACCCTTGAGCCACAGCACCATTTCTGGCTTTTTTCTGCTTATGTGGTGCTAAGGAATGGAACCCAGGGCCTCATCCATGTGAGGCAAGCACTCTACCACTTAACCAACTTCCCAGCCCCTACCCATGACATTTTTAATGTACTTCAGAAAGGTGACAACCCAGGGGTTCTTAGGATGGGGAGGGGCACTGGGCACCAGCCATGTCACCCAACTTTATCTCTTGGGGACCTGAGCATTCATGGCCAAGTAGTAACATGCAAATGTTCCTGACTTTTTTTTTTTAAACAGTCATAGGGCTTGAACTCAGGGCCTGGGCACTGTCTCTGAGCTTCTTTTGCTCAAGGCTAGCACTCTACCACTTGAGCCACAGCTCCATTTCTAGCTTTTTTTGTGTATGTGGTACTGAGGAATTGAACCCAGGGCTTCATGCATGCTAGGCAAGCACTCTACCACTGAGCCACATTCCCAGTCCCTGACATTTTTTTTTTTTTTTGTCGGTCATGGGGCCTGAACTCTGGGCCTGGGCGCTGTCACTCAGCTCTTCAGCTCAGGGCTAGCACCCTACCACTTGAGCCACAGCGCCACTTCCGGCTTTTTCTGCTTATGTGGTGCTGAGGAATCGAACCAAGGGCCTCATGCATGCAAGGCAAGCGCTCTACCACTGAGCCACCTTCCCAGCCCCCTGACATTCTTTTTATTTCTGTGTATTTGGAATCTTATAACAAAAATCATCCACACAGGAAACGAACGCTTTGGGTGTGGGTGAAGGGCCTCACACAGGAGTGTGGTGTGGCACTGACTCTCTCTGGCCTTCCACTCAGGGTTTCCACGAGAAGGTTTTGGAAGACTGCAACGCTGTCCTCAGCTTCAATAGCGGTAACTGCAAGGCTCTGTATCGCAAGTCCAAGGCCTTAAGTGACTTGGGAAGGTACCGAGAGGCTTATGATGCGGTGGCCAAGTGCTCCTTAGCAGTGCCTCAGGTATGCACCTAATACTCCAGTTCATCTATTTTCCCACCTGCCTCTGGCCTGCTCTCCTATACCCAGTTCGAGGAATGGCAGTGAATAGGTTAAATTTCCTACATAGCTGCCAGCCTGCAGGACAAGTGTGTAGACAGGGAAATGGCGCCTCTTTTCCCTGTTCTCCGGCACGGTTAGCCGGGTATCTTTCCATGAATTATACATGTTGTCTTTTTTTTCAGGATGAACATGTAATCAAACTAACACAAGAGCTAGCTCAGAAATTGGGATTTAAAATAAGGAAAGCATACGTTAGAGCTGAGGTAAGCTAGAGTTCTCCGCATTAAGGTCGTCTTCATTTTGCCTTAGTACTTGGAGTCAATTGTGTTTCTAAAGATGTGTCCTGGTTTTATTCCAGCTCTCAATGAAAGCAGTCCCTGGGGATGAAGTTACTAAGGTAAAGTCACTGTCTGTGTCAGAATTTACCTTAAGAGTCCTGCTGTTCACCTCTTTAGTGTGAGCCTCCTAATTCCACAAGCTCATAGCAGGCCATAGCTTCCTGTCACTTACTTTATATTTTATTTTTGGCAGGTTCCAGGGCTTGAACTCTGGACCTAGATGTTATCCCTGAGCTTTTATGCTCTATACTAGAACTGTATCACTTTGAACCACAGCTCCATTTCTGGACTTTTTGGTGGTTAATTGGAAATAAGAGACTCATGGACTTTCCTTGCCAGAGCTGGCTTTGAACTAAGATGCTCAGATCTCAGTCTCCTGAGAAGCTAGGAAGCTCGTATAGAGTGAGCCATCAGTGCCCAGACAAGTTACAGTTTCTTTATTTCATTGTAGTTTGATTTTCAAGCTTAAGCCAAGTCTTGTATTAGGGTAGCTAGGATGCCAGCGGCCATGGCGAAGGGATTAGAAGTGGAGTGGTGACTGGATTAGTCCTTGGTGTTCAGCCAAGTGGTTTTTGTTTTTTGTTTTTTTGTCAGTCCCGGGCTTGAAATCAGGGATTATGCACTGTCCTGAGCTTCTTTTGCTCAAGGCTAGCACTCTACCACTTGAGTCACAGTGCCCCTTCTAGCTTTTTGGTGATTAATTGGTGATTAATCTCATGAACTTTCCTGCCTGGGCTGGTTTCAAACTGTGATCCTCATATCTTAGCTTCCTGTGTCGCCGGTTACAGATGTGGGCCACCAGTGCCTGGCTCCGAGTGGCCTTTGAGCAATGTGGGCCACTAAAAATAAGTGGTGGTGGCCAGATAGGCTGATACGCCCTCTCATCCTTGCTCCTTGGGAGGCTGAGGCGGGAGGATTGCATGGGCCCACATATAATGAGATTCCTCCTCAAAAAAAAGGAGCAGGGGCTGAGAAGGTGGCTTAGTGTTAGAGTGCTTGCCTAGTGTGCATGGAGCCCTGGGTTGGATTCCTCAGTACCACATAAACAGAAAAAGCCAGAAGTGGTGCTGTGGCTCAAGTGGTAGATTACTAGTGTTGAGCAAAAGAAGCTCAGGGACAGTGCCCAGGCCCCGAGTTCAAGTCCCAGGAGTGGCACAAAAAAGGGAAAAAAAAGAAAAAGAAGAGCAAAGAGATGCTACTACTGCTCTGTAGGTTTGAACATGTCTTTAGTTCTGGGAGCTAAGTCAGATTTCTATGCAAGTCTGTGTTGCCCTCTTAAGATGAGTTCTACAAAGTGCTTTGCAGTTTGCAGTTTAGAATGCTGAAAATTCTATGTTTGGTTTGATTTTTAGCCCATGAGCTGTTCCGTGGAGGATATCGAGCCAGGTACGTTTCGTGTTCTCCCTGTGGCGTTGCTCAAGCACCATGGGATGATCCATGTGGCCAGGCAGTGTCACTGGACGGCACTGTCACGTGGCCAAGTCTCCCCTGGCCCTTTGTGGTCCCCTCACACTGTGTGAGCACCTTTGCACATCTGTTTCAGATCTATTGACCCCAAGGCAAGAAGCGCTTCCTGTGGTCTCCCTGCCCGCACCTGCTTTTTCTCACGGCGTTGGAAACGAGCTGGCCTCAGTCCCTATGATGCCTTTGACTTCTGTCTTGCCACTGCACGTGGAAGAGAGCACTCTGCCACCCACAGTGCTGGCCAATGGAGGGAAGACGCCCTTCTCCGCCTCCGAGGCTTTCCTGGACGACGGAGACATGGTCCTGGGTGATGAGCTGGATGACCTGCTTGATTCTACGCCCGAGAGCGAGGACGCCATTATAGTGAGTGGCAGCCTTCAGCCTCTGGTCTGCAGGATTTACTTTTTTGTTTAAATTGCAACGTAGCCTGGGAGGACGCCTTCCCATGTGGCTGCATCAAACTTGGGGTTTCTTACTTTCAAATGATGTGGGTTTTTGTTTGGTGTTGGTCCTGGGGCTTGCACTCAGGATCGGGGCACTGTTTCTTAGCTCTTTTTCTCTGATGCTTTATCACTGGAACTACATACACCTCCACTTCCGGCTGTTTGCTGGTTAGTTGGAGATAAGTCCCACAAACTTTTCTGTCCAGGCTGGCTTTGAATCAAAATCCTCAGGTCTCAGCCTCCTGAGTAGCAAGGATGACAGGCGTAAGCCACCAGTGCCCGGCAATACATTGTTCTGGGAACACAGTCTTGGGCCCTCTTGTGCTATCTGCATCTGCCACCACTGCTGTGTGAGTAGAGTGGGTGCGGTGGGGACCACGTCACCTGCCAAGCCTGGTCCTTCCTAGAGAGCACTTCCCAACCCCTGCCATGCAGGGAATATGGAAAGAATATAGAAAGACCTTTCACACCCTGGCCTTGATAAGAAAGAAGAGTGGTGGTGAAATTGTCCAATGAATCATGGCTCCTATGAAGCTGGTGCAGGACAAGCCCACCTGTGCAGTTTGTTTCTGGGCAGCTAGAAAAGAAGCCGGCAAAACTTGGTCAGCTTATGAATGGTATTCAATCTTTCTTCTCTAGCACTCAGCTCTAGTCCGAGGACCCCTCCAGACAGCCAGTGTCCAGTCCCGGCTGCCCTTCTCTACTCCCTTGCTGGGAACCTTGCCCCTGGGTGCAAGGTGCGCGCCCCTGCCCTCCTTTGCCGAGCTGTACCCACCTCTGACCTCCTCCCTGGAGGACTTTTGCTCATCTTTCAGTTCATTTGCAATGACCGAGCCCAAACCAGGTAAGCATCCAGCTGAAGGCTGCATGATTGCAGTCACTTATGAGCAGGAGAACGCGTGTTGTCAGTTACAGCCCTGTAGGGACTTGAGTTGTTTTTACTGTAAGGACAAAGGGTAGGCTTGAACCTCCATCTGGAGAGCAAGGGGCCAAGGTGTGAGCGTGGACATGGGCCCTGGTGTCCTGCAGGGGGCTTGGTGCAGATGGAGCAGGGTCTCTGGTGCATTCGCCAGTAAAGATCAGCCCTGTCCTAGAGGTTTCAGAGGACAGCGCATCTTGTCTCATCCCGAACTGGAAACACACCGTTCACATGTACCTGTAGATGATTGCAGATGCCATGTCTGGGGTGTGTGCTCTTAGGCTCAGCATGCTGCCCACAATGCTGAGGGCTTAGGCACACTCCTGTTTTTGTCTTCTTTTTTATTTTTTCCCACTCCTAGGGTTTGAACTCAGGGCCTGGGTGCTGTCCTGGAGCTTCTTTTGCTCAAGGCTAGTGCTCTACCACTTGAGCCACAGAGCCACTTCTGGCTTTATCTGTTTATGTGGTACTGAGGAATCAAACCCAGGGCTTCATGCATGCAAGGCGAGCACTCTACCACTAAGCCACCTTCCCAGCCCAGTTGTTGTCTTCTTTAACACAAACTTGGTGTGTGTGTTTTTTTTTTTTTTTTGGGGGGGGGGTGGGTCCTTGTGAATGTTAGACAGAGCTGTACCACTGAGCAAACCCTCTGCCCTTTATCCATATTAGAAAAAATAGTGAGGCATTGTGATGTGGCTAAAAGGCCTAAATTGAAACCCATTAAAACTTTTCTAATTAAAGAGGAGACAGATGGCAGAGAGGGTATAGTGACAGAATAAGACTGAGTGAGCTGTCTTGCCTTTCAGAGGGAACTTTTTTTCCATTTAATTTTTTTAATATGTAATTTTATTATTTTTTTTGTTTATGTGATACTGAGGGATCGAACCCAGGGCCTCATACATGCTAGGCAAGCATTCCACCACTAAGCCATGTTCCCAGTCTCTTTTTCCATTTTTGAATGGGAATAGTTCTCTTAGATTTTTAACAGCCCCCTTGATAGGCCTGGCTTAGGTCAGGTCTCCCAGTGGTAGCTCATTCTTTGAATTTGGTGCTGAAGGGTTTTTTCCACTCTGGTTTCTAGAGGGAAGGGAAAGCCTCAGGGCTCTGTGCAAGGCAGTGGTGAGCACAAAGGTTTCAGGAGCCCAGGGAGGGAAAGCGTGGGGAGCCGGTGGCAGGCAGCCCCCCTAAACCCTGATGTTCTTATTGCATGGTTAGAAAAGGTCTGTTGAAGTTTTTTTGTTTGTTTGTTTTATCATTTTAGATGTGTCCACCTCAACTACTAGAGAGGGATCAACGCTTAACAGGAGTAATTCCTCCCTTTTACTTGTAAGTGCCACTTCCTCTTTTGTAATACATCGCTTCCATTGAACCTCAGTCTTGTAATGAGTAAACTGAATGATGTGAGTGAACACCGCAGGCTCGCTCACGTTTCCTGTGTGCTGTGGAAGAGTCTGTAAGGCTTGCCTGGAATGCCAATAACAGATGACACTGTCAGAGCAGACCCACACACGGGGCAAGTAGCCCACAGGCTCGAGGGCTGTCACAGATCAGGCACGGGAGGTGCGTGCCCGTGCTGCACAGCATTTGTGTTACTTCAGCACTCACAAAGCAAGGACCACAGGAAGGGGCTCAGACCCACAAGAGAAAATCCTAAACACAGATGGAATCCCCTCGTCCTTAACTCTTCGCATGACGCACTGTTCTTTAGTGATAGTACAATATTTGTTGCCTGTTTCTTTTTTTTTCTTCTTGTTGTTTGTTTTCTTTTTCCCTCCCTCCCTCCCTCCCTCCCTTTCTTCCTTTCTTTTTTTTGTTTTTATTCTTTTTTTGCAGATGAATGGACCAGGTAGTTTGTTTGCTTCTGAGAATTTCCTGGGAATTTCAAGTCAGCTTAGAAATGACTTTGGAAACTTTTTTGGAAGTGTGATTACTAAACCCTCTCCACCAGTGACTCCAAGACATCCCCTTGAAGGAACTCATGAGTTGAGACAAGCTTGCCAGATCTGCTTTGTAAAATCAGGTCAGGACCACCAACAGGACAGAGCATGAACGCTGGCCCCGGGGAGCTGCTAAGAGAACTGGGTGCCTGAGAAGAGAGCAGCCCTTGGGGTTCATTCTAGGGAAGAGGCACCTCTGTTTTTCTTTTTTTTTTTTGGTCCGATCGTGGGGCCTGAACTCTGGGCCTGGGTGCTGTCCCTCAGCTCTTCAGCTCAAGGCTAGCACTCTACCACTTGAGCCACAGCGCCACTTCTGGCTTTTTTCTTTTTACTTATGTGGTGCTCAGGAATTGAACCCAGGACCTCATGCATGCAAGGCAAGCGCTCTCCACTGAGCCACCTTCCCAGCCCCAGCAATCATATAGGGCATTTGGACTCTGAGAAGTTGCTAGTCCCTTCTGTATACTCTTTTTTGTCGGTCGTGGGGCTTGAACTCTGGGCCTGGGCGCTGTCCCTCAGCTCTTCAGCTCAAGGCGAGCGCTCTACCACTTGAGCCACAGCGCCACTTCCGGTTTTCTGGTGGTTTATTGGAGATAGGAGTCTCACGGCCTCTCCTGCCCGGGCTGGCTTTGAACCACGATCCTCAGATCTCAGCCTCCTGAGTAGCTAGGATTACAGGCGTGAGCCACCAGCGCCCGGCTTTGTACACTCTTACTATATGTGCTGCTGAAGCAAGCACTTCTGTACACTTTTATTTCTCATGTGAAACTAATAGGAAAGTCCTTTTGCTCCAAGGATATATTTAAGAGCTATATGATGTGGTGCAGCAGTTAGGAAAATCAAAGTTCTCTTTTTTGGCTACTTTCAAATTAGGAGTGTAATCAGTTCTGATTTTTTTTTTTTTTTGGTGGGGGGTGTTGGTTTGCTTTTGGGGAACTGGGTTTATTTGCTATTCCAGATGCAGACAGTAGCCTGGACACAAACATTCTGACAGCTGCTCCTTCTTGACTTTTATGATAAGCTGTCAGAATTTCCATCTACATTATGTCCCTAGAAGTTAAATAAATATATGTTTTGATAGGACTTGGATTGAAGAGAGCTTTGAGCATAAAAGTGAACGTCTGCCTGGCTAGGCTGAAGGTGTTTGCTGAGATTGTGGGCAGTGGTCACCTGCCTGCCCCTGTGACCTGGGGTGGTGTGGACTGCAATGGATGGCATAGCATTCCTCGTGTGTATGAATAATCCTCTTTACATCTTTTTCAGGCCCTAAGTTAATGGATTTCACCTATCATGCTACTATAGATCATAAATGTAAGAAAGATATTTTAATTGGTAGGATAAAGAATGTTGAAGATAAATCATGGAAAAAAATACGTCCAAGACCAACAAAAACAAATTATGAAGGACCATATTATATATGTAAAGGTACATATTGTAATTTCCGTCTATTACATAAGTAATAAGTTAACTACAGTTTTTTGTAAGGGCTCCAATATTGACTTCCGAAAAATACTTACACAGACAGTTGATAGCAAGTTCCCTGAATTGAGATCGGAGTCTTTGTTTTGGACAATATTGGGTTTGAACTCAGGGCTTCCTACCTGCGAGGCTGCTGCTATATACCCAGTCTTGCTTTTTTGTTCGTTATTTTGGAGCTGGAATCTAGAGGAGTTTTTGCCTGTTGGTCTCAAACTTTAATCCTCCAGATCTCAGCTTCTTCAGCTAGGATTACAAGTATGAGCCAATGGCACTTGGCATTTCTGTATCATTTTTACTGCTGTTTGTAGTCTTTTATGTGTGTTTTATAGTGCCTTATAAAAGTACAATTTTGACCAAATTTTAAACAGAAAATTCTGTCTATTTAGAATCAGAACACTGAACTAAAACTTTGATTGAGAATGTTGCTCTATTTAAGATACTCTCTCACTTTTTTGTGCTGTTATTGAGGCTTGAATTCAGTGCCTTGCCCTCTAGCTTGTCTTTTTTGTTCGTGGTTGGCGTTCTACCACTTGACCCACATCTTTACTTTCAGCCTTTTGGTGCTTAGTTGGAGATAAGAATCTCTTGGCTTCTTCTGCTGAAGCTGGCTTTACACCTGGGTCCTCAGCTCTCAGCCTCCTGAATAGCAAGGGTTACAGACATGGGCCACCAGTGTCTGGCTGTCAAATGCTTTTTGAGAGAATCTGGCACTTTTGCATTTGTCAAACTGCTTGATCTGATGGAGTTTAAATGGCCCTAAGATGGTTTTTGATTTTACATGGAATACACAGGCATACAGAAGCAGTTTTTGCCTGTCTAGTAAAAGCTGTTGACTGAAAGACTAAATTCAACCCATCCCTGAATAGTAATAAGAATATTATTAAACCGGGTGTTGGTGGTTTATGCCTGTAATCCTAACTACTCAGGAGGCTGAGATCTGAGTATCAAGGTTCAAAGCCAGCCCAGGCAGAAAAGTCTGTGAGAATCTTATCTCCAGTTAACCACCAGAAAACTGGAAGAGGCTCTGTGGCTCAAGAGGTAGAGCATTAGCCTTGAGCTGAAGAGCTGAGGGATAGTGCCCAGGCCCAGAGTTCAAGCTCCATGACTGACCGAAAAAAAAAAAAAATTATTGCTTGAAGCTGTGTTTGCAAAAACAGTTAACCATGATTGAATGTCTCGTCCTCCCTGTCTCTCTAGATGTGGCTGCTGAGGAAGAATGTCGCTATTCCGGCCACTGCACATTTGCTTATTGCCAGGAAGAGATAGACATCTGGACCCTGGAGAGAAAGGGAGCTTTCAGCCGAGAGGCTTTCTTTGGTGGCAATGGGAAGATCAATCTTTCTGTGGGCAAACTTCTCCAAGAGCACCTTGGAGAATTTATATTCCTTTGTGAGGTGCTTTCTCTGAGACTTCTTTTCTGTTGGAAGTTTGGTTTTGGTGCTGATTGTGTAATATAGGACTGTCCAGCATGCGGAAGGCTCTGTGCTAGTTTCTGATTGGCAAGCTTGGCAGTAGGAAGGCCTCAGGCGACCCTGGCATAAGATCATGTAGTTACTTAGTAAATGGTGGTATTACTTTTACCAGAAAGAATTATACTGAGGCTTCACATTGAAGGTTAATGTTTGTAGTGGGCACTGGTGGCTCACTTCTATAATCCTAGCTATTTAGGAGGCTGAGGTCTGAGGATTGCAGTTTGAAGCTAGTCTGAGCAGGAAAGTCCCTGACTTATCACCAGTTAACCACCAGAAAACTGGAAGTGGCACTGTGGCTCAAAGTGGTAGAGTGCTAGCCTTGAGCAGAAAAGCTCAGGAACAGAACCTAGGCCCAGAGTTCAAGCTCCATGACCAACCAAAAAAAGAAAGAAAAAAGAAAGAAAATAGAAGAACATATTTATAAAGATTCTGGAGTTAAGACAATATCTTGTGTCTACAAAATGACAAGTTTGGGTCAGGTAATGGTTGACTCATGCCTGCAATCCTAGGTACACAGGAGGTTGAGATCTGAGGATCATGGTTTAGAGCCAGCCCAGGCAGACAAATCCAGGAGACTCTTATTTCCCATTAACCACCAAATGCCAGAAGTGGAGCTGTGGCTCAAATACCAGTCTTGAGCAAATAAAACTAAGCAAGAGCCGGGCGCTGATGGCTCACGCCTGTGGTCCTAACTACTCAGGAGGCTGAGATCTGAGGAGCAAGGTTCAAAGCCAGCCCAGGCAGGAAAATACATGAGACTCTTACCTCCAATAAATCACCAGAAAACCTGAAGTAGTGCTGTAGCCCAAGTGGTAGAGCACTCACCTTGAGCTGAAGAGCTGAGGGACAGCGCCCAGGCCCAGAGTTCAAGCCCCACAACCGATAAAAAAAAAAACCCAAAAACTAAGCAAGAATCTGAGGCCCTGAGTTCAAACCCCCGTACCAGCACCAAAATAAATACATACATACATACATACATAAACCACAGTTTGTATTTATTTGTATGGTAACCTTTCTGTTTTCTCTATTACAGAAATGTTTTGATCATAAACCTAGAATGATAAGTAAAAGAAATAAGGATAATTCTTCTGCTTGTTCTCACCCTGATACAAAGCATGAATTTGAAGACAATAAGTATGTTGATGGTTTCTACTTCTTAAAATGACAAAATAGATTTCTTTCTTAGATCCAAACAAAATCAGTAGTGATATTTTCCCAGACATTACTTCTGCCCTGCTGTTGTTGTCTAGAAGAGCAACAGTGACTGTTTTAAAATGCCTTTTAGTAGATTTGATTAATAATTAATGGATTATCTAATACAGAATAGTATCATTTATTATAGCTTCTCATGATAAGGTTGTATGGAGTTTTTTGGCTAAAATATAATTACCATCCACATTAATTTGACAATTGGCATAGTTTTTTTTGGTTTTCATTTTTTTTTTTTTCTGATAAAGATTTACAATGGGTTGGGCACTATGGTTCACACCTATAATTCTAGCTACTTAGGAGGCTGAGGTATGAGGATTATGGTTCAAAGCCAGCCCTTGTAGACAAATTCTTGAGACCCTTATCTCCAATTAGCCAGCAAAAAGTCAAGTGGAGCTGTGTCTCGAGTGGTAGAGTGCTGCCGTTGAGCAAAAATTGCTAAGGGACAGCATCCAGGCCCTGAGTACGGGCACAAAAAGGAAAAAATAAAAAATTTACAATGGAGTCTCTGTCATTTCCAGTCTAGACCATGACATTGTGTGTGTGTTGCCTGCGTGTCTATGCATATTTCTTATAAATAGTGACAGAAGGATATTAAAATGTCTCTGTTTTCATCGCAGGTGCCTCGTCCACATTTTGCGAGAGACAACAGTAAAATATTCTAAAATCCGTTCTTTTCATGGTCAGTGTCAGCTTGACCTGTGTCGCCATGAGGTTCGCTATGGCTGCCAGCGGGAAGATGAGTGCTTCTATGCCCACAGTTTAGTGGAGCTGAAAGTCTGGACTATGCAGAGTGAAACAGGTTGGTTTGCAGCTCAGTGTTCAAATTGGTGGCCTGAGGACCAGGGCCTGCGAGGTGCAGGGGCTGAGTGCACCCTTGTCATCGTGCTCCTGCGCTCGCTGCTGCTTTGGTCCTGTACTGTCTGCTCTGAGTTGATACAAGTTCATAACTGTAGCACGGGTCGGGGGCAGGTTGCTCAGATGACACAAGCTGTATTTGTAAATATTCTATTTGAAAAGGGATAATGTGGTACCACTCACCCTTGGGGATAGATCAGGCGGTCTAAGAATACCTGGGGAGTGGAGGGTTCTCTGAGTCTGACTGCAAGTGGGAGGTGGACTTCTGTTCAGTGCAAAATCTAAAGGAAGGCTTCTCTTATCTCCCACCAGGTATTTCACATGATGCCATTGCTCAAGAATCGAAACAGTATTGGCAAAATTTGGAAGCAGTCGGGCCTGGAGCTCAGGTACCTTTTCCTGTGTGCATCCTGTGTTTGGTGGCTTCCTGTCATGGCCCGTGGGGACAGTGGCGGTCATGGACAGTTCAGTCTCCTCAGTCACATCCCATGCAGCTGAGCAATTCTTCTGAAAACAGTTGGTTTTAGTGTCCGTTGTTATAAAATTAGATATTGTACAATATGTGACAACAATGGAGGGTACTGTTTTCTTATTTAGCTTAGTTGGGGCTCATAGAGGAAGAGAGGAGGGTTAGGTTTTTAATTTTGGATCCTACCTGTCATAACTCGCTTGTCTGTTGATCTCCTCAATGGCCATCAAAATCAAACCAGTCTTAAGCTTAAACTAGCTTTTGCAAGTTGAGGGTTGGCATCTATAGTCCACCTTTATTTTATATTTTTGCATAAACGTGAGGGGTATTTGAGGTTTTGTTATAAGATAGACACATACATATACAACACATACATGTGTTATATATGTGTATATATATATATAATTGTATATTATCATGAAAGAAAAGTGTGTAATGATTTAGTGTTTTGTACTTAGGCATCTAGTTTTCTGTTAACATATGGATCTTCTGTTTAAGGTATTTGGCAATCAAATAATGCCTGGATCTCTTAATATGAAGATAAAATTTGTATGTGCTCAGTGTCTGAGAAATGGCCAAATCATTGAACCAGACAAGAACAGGAAATACTGTAGTGCAAAAGCCATGCACTCGTAAGTATTGGGGGAGGAAGCAGTGTTTGCTTTGTAACCACCTGTTTCCTAGGTATGAGGCCACACACCTGAGAAAAGAGTCAGGCTCCAAGGAGGGCAGGCAGATGCGCAGGGGCAATCACAAAGCGGAAGAGCTTTTTAGGATTAGTTACGAATTCCAAAATTGTGTTTTCCCACTATCCACCTGTTTAGGATTCCTAGGGAATGCTTCAAAGTGTCAGCAGGAAATGATAATCACGAGGCATTTCTTTTAGAAGTGTTGAGAGAGGAAAACCTCTGTCCTTCAGGTACAAGTGTGTACCTCCCTGTGTTGTTGTGCCTTTTGCCCCGTGTGTCTGTTTTTTTTCTGAACTCCATTTTCCTTAGGTGGACCAAAGATCGCCGGGCGATGAGAGTGATGTCTTTTGAACGTAAGAAGTGGATGAACATCCGTCCTCTCCCCACAAAGAAACAAATGCCTTTACAGTTTGATGTACATACGTAATTTTTAAGCCACTTTTTTAAAAAAAAAATTAGGCGTTTCAAATCATTAGCAAGTAGTGTTAATTGCCTGGAAATGGAAGCCTTTTAATGAGGCCCATGAGTAGGGATGAAGTGCAGTGCTCCTGCCCTCCCTTCCCCTTAGCTGTGTGGCTCCGTGGCAGTTTTCACATGGATGGCGAGTTTGTGGGGTGCTTGGGCAGAGTGCATAGATCCTGGTTATGGGCGTAATTTCACTTGTTTTTCTACGGAATCAGTTTTAGAGGAGATGAGAAAAATGTCACCTGACTTTGATTGCTCAGGTCTGCTCTGAACTCTAGGCCTGTGTGTTAGCGCAGAGGGCTGTGGTGCCTCTTCATCGCTCCTGCTTGCTTCACTGAAGCCAGTGGCTCGGTGGCACAGGACTTGCTCAGGTAGCTGGCAGCGGAGGTGCCCGGTGCCCGTCCAGAGCATGTGGTCCTCTGCCCAAGGCAGCTTAGTCAGGAGTGTCCTTGGTCATGGCCATGACTGCCAGGAAGATCACTTGAGTTGTCCCCAGACTTCTCCTTTGCCAAGAGAGGATCTAGAGAGTCCACACGTGATCCGCTGGACCTGAGGGACAGGGACAGTGGCGTGTTGCCAGGCAGCCAGCTTTCTGCACCCACAGAGGAGAGATGGAGGACTTCTTGTCCCAGAAGCAGGGCAGCAGCTGATAAATGGCCATAAAGACTTGAGGAAGAGGGCGATGGGTTTATCACCTCCCAGCTTTGGAAAGCTTAGCACGCGTCCCAAGGACCAGTCTCGGCTCTCTCTTCCCCACAGTGGTTCTGGACTCTGCTTTTATAGGAAGGGGGAAAGAGGTTTCCCGGAGCCATGGTACTTGGGTGCTAGATGGCTGGTCATACTTTCATGTCGTGTGTGTTGTCCTGCTGTGCAGCTTCTCAGCAGCTATTTCCTTTTCCTCCTCCTAGACATTGTTAAGGGTCATTTCTAAAAGAAGCAGTCACACTCTATGTGTGTGGAGCGTATAGGCAGGGAATGGAGACGGGCTCTGAGTGCCAGAAGGGCCTGTCATTACTCAGCCTCATTTGCTCAGCCATCATAGGGAGCAGTTACCAATATGGTTCTCTGTGAAACCCAGCACAGTGCCTGGACTACTTGTTTTTTTTTTTTGCCAGTCCTGGGGCTTGAACTTAGGACCTAGGCACTGTTTCTGAGCTTCTTTTGCCCAAGGTTAGTACTCCACCATAGAGCCACAGCGCCACTTCCGGCTTTCTCTGTTTATGTCGTACTGAGGAATCGAATTCAGGGCTTTGTGCATGCTAGACAAACACTCTACCACTAAGCCATATTCCCAGCCATGGTCCTCTGTCTTGAACTCAGGGCCTGTGCACTGTTCCTGAGTTTTTCTCCTCAAAGCTGATGCTCTACCACTTGAGCCACAGCTCTACTTCCAGCTTTTTGGTGGTTAATTGGAGATAAAGTCTGATGTACTTTCTTGCTTGGGCTGGTTTTAAACCATGATCCTTAGATCTCAGACTCCTAAGTAGCTAGGATTACAGGCGTGAGCCACTGGTGCCTGGCTGTGTGCTCTATGTCTTGTGATAGTGGGGGAATAACTGGGGACATTGTGTTTGCTTGTTGAGAAAGGGCTCTGTCCCTTAAACCATGGGCTCAGCCCTGCTTCATTATACTTCTCTTCCTCCTGCTCCTTGTTGTAAGCCATCAAGGACGTCTTTCCTTAGGGACACCACTGAGTGCCTCTTGGGCCTTGAGCAGGGATGGTATGAGAAAGTCGGGGACAAGAATTATTTCTTGGCTGCCACCTTCCTGCAGAAGATTTTCAGGATGGGGCTCTGAGTTCATCCAAGAGAGAAGATGGGCAGTGTTAAGGGCTGACTGCTCTTAGAGTCAACCATCCACAGCCTAGACTGTTTTTTTTTTTTTTTTAAAGCAAATGCTAATTACTTAACACTATCTAAGTTCCAGTTGTAACACAAACTACCATCAGTCATCATAAGCTGTATTAGAACTTGGGATCTACCAAGAGAAGACAATGGATGCCTCTTGTTCTGGGTAGTCATGGTTCTTAAGGAAGGCCCTGTTCTGTCGTCGCTGTCACTTCATTTTCCTACTGGTGTCACCATGTGTCCTTTGTCACATCAAAACAGCAATGCCCAGTCGAGGCATTATTTGACAGCCCTGTCACTCCACAGCCTGGTGGTGTGCCATTTGTTGTCGGATAAGTCTTATCTAGGGAGTGCGGCTAGCTCTTGTGTTGTTCTCAGTGGGTGATGTTGCAAAGTCCCCTGGGACTGTCTGGTGGCCCCTGGAGCTGGCTTTTGACCTGGAGGCCCCGAGGTTTGTTTCCTGGGAGGGTAGGAGCCATCAGGTGGAGAGGACCAGAGCTGCAGGGGTGGAAGGTCCTCAGTGTGTGAGCTTGTCAGCCTTGTCTTGTACAATGTTCTCTGTTACTATAGAAACCTCTGCTTCAATATCATCTCAGGTATTGGGGGATCACAGTCAATTTAAATGAAATCAAGTCCATCGTACTTAAAAACTCTTACTTCTGAGCATTAGCATCATAGTAAGGCTTATTAATTGCTTAAGTTGGAGTCACCATTTTGACAAAGGCTGCTCCATCTTAAAGCATATGTGTTTGTGTGTGTGTGTGTGTGTGTGCTTTTCTTTACAGCTGTGCAACCACATTGCTTCTGGGAAAAAGTGTCAGTATGTTGGGAACTGTTCTTTTGCACATAGTCTTGAGGAGCGGGAAGTGTGGACCTACATGAAGGAGAATGGGAGTAAGTTCTTTGCACTGTCTTGCCCTCTGTGACGTGAAGCATGCAGCTTCCCATGAGCTGGTTCTGGGCTTGAACTCAGGGGCCTAGGCACTGTCCCTGAGCTTTTGTGCTCAAGGCTAGTACTCTAAACAAGCTGGCTTTGAGCCATGATCCTCAGATCTCAGCCTCCTGAATAGGTAGGATTACAGGCGTGAGCCACCTACGCCTGGCACCAGGACCAGGTTTTTTTTGGGGGGGGCGTCTGGTCGTGGGGCCTGAACTCTGGGCCTGGGCGCTGTCTCTCAGCTCTTCAGCTCAAGGCTAGCACTCTACCACTTGAGCCACAGCGCCACTTCCGGCTTTTTTCTTATGTGGTGCTGAGGAATCGAACCTAGGGCCTCAGGCATGCAAGGCAAGCGCTCTACCACTGAGCCACCTTCCCAGCCCCAGGACCAGTTTTAAACAGGGAGATTCTCAGTTTGAGGACAGCCCAGGGTCATTGCTAAGTACACCCCACTAACTGTGGGCCAGCTGTCAGCAGAAAGCAGGAGAGGCTGTAAGTCAGCGGTGCCGAGGCTGCAGATCCCTGCATCAGCGCTTGTCAGTGATGTTCCTCACCTGTTCTTACCACTGCCAGGAGGTAGCCCCAGAGGTACTGTAATCATACCCAGCATGCCGGCCCTCTGGGACTATGGCACCATGGGTGACTCCCACCAGGGTCAGTCTTTCTCAGTGAACAGGGGGAGCGTATCAGCTCCCAGCCCCCAAGTTGTCTAAGTGGCCTCATGTCTTCCTGGCCCTGACCAGGTGTGTCACATAGGATGACACAAAATGGTGCCGAGGCTCTTTGGGCCAAAACCTGCGGCTGTTCTGAGATTTCAGCACCCCACATGTTTGCCCATGCAGGGAGAAGTTACTTAATGTGGAGAATTGTTTGCTATCTGTTGGGTCTTGCGCATGGGTTTATCTGCTGCTGAGGCTGGACTGGAGTCACCTGTCTAATACAGCCCTTGCTTTGTTTTGAAAATGTATGCTGAGGGGCTGGGAAGGTGGCTCAGTGGTAGAGCGCTTGCCTTGCATGCCTGAAGCCCTGAGTTCGATTCCTCAGCACCACATAAGCAAAAAGAAAAAAGCTGGAAGTGGCGCTGTGGCTCAAGTGGTAGAGCGCTAGCCTTGAGCTGAAGAGCTGAGGGACAGTGCCCAGGCCCAGAGTTCAGGCCCACAACCGGATCCTCCCCCCCCCAAAAAAAGAAAATGTATGCTGACTGAAACAAGTGTGTGTGTGTGTGTGTGTGTGTGTGTGCGTGCGTGCGCGCGCGCGCGTGTGCGCATTTCATTGTTGCTGAAAGTGGTTTGTTTTTCTTTAGTACAAGATATGGAGCAATTTTATGAACTGTGGCTCAAGAGTCAAAAAAATGACAAAAGTGATGATGTAGCCAGCCAGTCAAACAAGGAAAATGGGAAACAAATCCACATGCCAACAGACTATGCCGAAGTTACTGTAAGTACCTGCTCACACCAGAAGCCGTCACCAGAAGCCTTTCCTTTCCCCTTCCCCAGCTCTGCCTCCATCCCCCGCTGCCTCCCCTCTGCTCCCGCTGCTGCCAGCTCCTCTCCACCACGGGCTCCTGCCATTTGCTGTTGTCTCCTCGTGCTAGAGCATCCCACCTTAGTTCCCAGCTCACAATGCTAATGCTTGCACTTGCTTCTGTCAAATGCTGTGCTAGAGATCATGTTGGAGCTTGACACTGTGGCTCACGCCTATAATCCTTGCCTCTCAGGAGGCTGACATCTAAGAATTGCAGTTCAAAGCCAGCCCTGGCAGGAAAGTCCGTGAGACTCTTTTCTCTAGTAAACTACTCAAATAAAGCCAGAAGTGGCTCTGTAGCTCATGTAATAGAGCACTAACCTTGAGCACAAAGAGGCACAGGAACAATACCCAGGCCCTGAGTTCAAGCCCCATGACCAGCAAAAAAGAAAGCACACTAGAGTCTGCATGACCCCTCCATTGTATAATTCCCAGAACCCACTTTCTGAATCCCTGGTGTGTTTGTCCTTAAGCTATGGTCCTTCCTGCCTGCTGAGTTTCACAATCTCCATGAAATGCTGCAGCTTCTTCTGGTATGGTTCATGGCATCTCATACTGGCTTGCTGCTTATCCATTGCCCTGCAGGGCTGGTGTCGCTGTGCCCGGTGCCCTTAGGAAATATGGTCTTCCCCCTTCAGTATCTGTCACAGCACTTCTTCTGCCACCTGGCACCAGCCTGCCTATACTGAGGGCTCAGTTATTGTGTATGGAGTGGAGCTGCTGCTTGCCCTCTTAAGTTGGCACACCTCAGGCTCTCATGGCCTCCTGGCTTTGCCACAGACCTGAATTCTAGGCAGAGAATTTGAGTTTACACACTGGGTTTGCACACTGGTTTGCCCACTGAATGCTCTGGTGTACACCCTGGCTCCTCTGGCTCCTTGCTGATGCTTGCTTCCAGAACGTGCTCCTTTCCTGACCCTCTCTGACTTTGAGTCATGTAGCCTCGCCCAGCTCCCTGAAAGTGGTCTGGGTCTTAGATCAGGTAGCACCTGGTCCTCCTGGGCCTGGGCGCCAGTCTGCACTCAGGTGACCTCTGACAGCCGCGTGTCTTGCCACACACACTCACTAGGTGGACTTCCACTGCTGGATGTGCGGGAAGAACTGTAACAGCGAGAAGCAGTGGCAGGGCCACATCTCGTCTGAGAAGCACAAGGAGAAGGTCTTCCACACAGAAGACGACCAATATTGCTGGCAGCACCGCTTCCCCACCGGCTATTTTAGTATTTGTGAGAGGTAGGTTGCTTGTAAGGTTGCGGCGGGGGCGGGGCGGGGGGGGGGGGTCACTGAATGGTGCCAGGCCCGGGGGCTCAGGGATGCACGGCTGTTCTGTGATCAGTTCTGTCTTCCCAGCTGTGGTGGCAGTACTCAGTGGGTTTCCCAGACTGCCTTGAACCGTCTTCCCAGAGAACTGTGTAGAGAAGCGTGTTCATCCACATGCACCTTCTCAGCAATCATTCTCTGGCTCTCTGCATCACCCACTGTTCAAAAATTCATGATCAGCTGGGTGCTAGTGGCTCACGCCTGTAATCCTGGCTACTCAGGAGGCTGAGATCTGAGAATCACGGTTCAAAGCCAGTCCAGTCGGGTCTGTGAAACTCTAATCTCCAATTATCGACCAGAAAACCGGAAGTGGTGTTGTGGCTCAAGTGGTAGAGCGCTTGCCTTGAGTTGAAGAGCTGAAGGACAGCATCCAGGCCCAGAGTTCAAACCCCACGATCACACAAAAAAAAAGTTAATGATCATCAGTTTGGGGGTGACCTTTAAGTTCTGTTCTAATGCTAGACCCAAAACTTAGGTCAAAGGAAATGATGGTATAAAACCATCACTCCTTTCTTTTTGTTCTAGGCCTAGGGCTTGAACTCAGGGCCTGAGTGCTGTTCCTAGCTTTTTCACTCAAGGCTAGTACTCTGCCACTTGAGGCATCAGCTCTGATTCCAGTTTTTGGTAGTTAATTGGAGATAAGAATGTCATGGTCTTTTCTGCCTGGGCTAGCTTCAAACTGTGACCCTCAGATCTCAGCCTCCTAAGATTATAGACATGAGCCACCAAAACCCAGCTTCCTTTGTTTTCTTTTTCTTTTCCTTTTCCTTTTCCTTTTTTTTTTTTTTTTTTGGTTGATTATGAGGCTTGAACTCTGGGCCTGGGCACTGTCCCTCAGCTCTTCAAATCAGGGTAAGCGCTCTACCACTTGAGCCACAGTGCCACTTCTGGTTTTCTGGTGGTTAATTGTAGATAAGAGTATCATGGATGTTCCTGTCTGGACTGGCTTTGACCTGCGATCCTCAGATCTCAGCCTCCTGAGTAGCTAAGATGACAGACGTGAGCCACCAGTGCCCAGCTTCTTTTGTTTTCTTAAAAGTTAATTTTTTTTTTGCTAGTCGTGGGACCTGAACTCTGGGTCTGGGCACTGTCCCTGAGTTCTTCAGCTCAAGGCTAGCGCCCTACCACTTGAGCCACAGCACCACTTCCAGCTTTTTCTGTTATGTGGTGCTAAGAAATCGAACCCAGGGCCTCATGCATGCAAGGCAAGCACTTTACCACTGAGCCATCTTCCCAGCCTAAAAGTTAAATTTTAATGAAAAACTATGTACACACTTGTAGTCCCAGATTGTATAGCTCTGATATCAGCTTGGGCTTTGGCTGTTCCTGCTCAGATAAACAAAAAAGAAAAAAAATCCTAACTAATTTTTGTTTTCTTTTGTGCCAGGTGAGGGTTGGAGTAGCTAGGATTATAGCATGAGCTACCAGCATCTGTCTTGGATAATTTTGAATTAGTCTTTCTTCTTTTGATTGTATGCCACCACACCCAGCCTATTGCCATTCTGCTTTTGATTGTATGCCACCACATCCAGCCTATTGCCACTTCTGAGGTCTTCCTTCTACACGAAGAGTGGCTGTGGTCTCTGTTTCCCCATCATTTAGTATTTTTTCCTTCATATATATATATATGTTATTGTAAAGATACTGTACAGAGGAGTTACAGTTACATGAGTAAGGTAATGACTACATTTCCTATCAAGCATTGTTACCCCCTCCTTTGTTTTTCCCCTACCATCCCTTCCCTCCCCAACTCCTCTCTCCCCCTTCTTTTTTTTAAAAAGTGGTTCTGGGGGTCAAACTCAGGGCCTTGAACATGTTAGGCAAACTACTACTGAGTTCCACCCCAAGTTATTGTTCTCCTGTCATTGAATATGTTTTAATAATTTATCATAGCAGTAAAATACTCATCTTTAGTGTTAAGCCCTCCCTAAAGGCTGGCTGCAGTGGTAGAAGGTATACTTAACGGGCCTTCGGGCCTTGGGTTTGATCCCCAGTGGAGGTAAAGGGGATTCCTCACATTGAAGATTGCAAGAAGTTGTATGCAAATCACAAAGCTAGCGAAGTGATAGTTTCAGGAATCTTTTTTTTTTTTTTGGGGGGGGGGTCCGGTTGTGGGGCCTGAACTCTGGGCCTGGGCGCTGTCCCTCAGCTCTTCAGCTCAAGGCTAGCGCTGTACCACTTGAGCCACAGCACCACTTCCGGCTTCTTTCTTTTTGCTTATGTGGTGCTGAGGAATCGAACCCAGGGCCTCAGGCATGCAAGGCAAGCGCTCTACCACTTAGCCAACTTCCCAGCCCAGTTTCAGGAATCTTGACCTGGATTCTTTCCATTCCTGTGTACGCTCACCAAGTTGCCTCTTCCTGACAGGTATATGACTGGCACTTGTCCAGAAGGGAGTGGCTGTAAATTTGCACATGGAAATGCTGAACTTCAAGAATGGGAAGAAAGAAGAAATGCCCTAAAGATGAAGCTCAACAAAGCAAGAAAAGATCACTTAATTGCCCCAAATGATAATGACTTTGGAAAATATAGTTTTTTGTTTAAAGATTTAAACTAATAATGCTGGCTTTTCTGTAACCTAATCAGAGCACTGACCAGAAAAAAAATTACAAGTGTTGTAAGGTGCGAGGCAGAGGAGCCGCAGCCTTCCTGCTTTGTGGCGAACCTCGTTCCTCCTCCTCCCGAGCAGCAACCACAGTAGGTAGGAAAACGGGATGTTTCACAGGTCTGGCCAAGCTCTCACAGAACCGTTGGCATCAAATGGTGAAGTGACCGCGCTCTGGTGGCCATCTGTTGAACGGACTTTTGGATGAAGTGTGTTGGGATGAGGAAAAGGTTATGTCTAGGATGATTCTTTGAGTTGGTCCTTCAGATAAGAACCATGGCAGGAGAACAGACACTTGTGCTGGGGTCAGAATACACAATGGATGTGATTCTTTACATGTTTTAGCAGAATGAATTGTTTAATAAAAGTTTGCTACTTATCTGTATGTAGGTTGCTAAAAAAGGATTTTCTTAACTCAGATTTTAAGCCAAATAACCATTTAACAGTAGTATATGTTAAATGGGGTATTTTTCTGTATTTGTATGTTTCACTACAATAAGGGAACCAGAATAATGTGCATTGAGAATATTTTGAAAAATAATCAATTGACTTAAATTTTATTTCTTGGTCTTTTGCTGTTTAAATGATGATTTTGAACGATTACACTTGTACTGCTGGTATTGTGTAGTGTATGGACCAATATTGCCTGTAATAAAATATTTTATATATATGAGACTTTGGTCTTTTGGTGTGGTTTTTCTCCATCAAGAAGTGGCAAGTGACTAAAAGTCACAGGATTGTTTTTTTTTTTTTTTGTCGGTCGTGGGGCTTGAACTCTGGGCCTGGGCACTGTCCCTCAGCTCTTCAGCTCAAGGCGAGCGCTCTACCACTTGAGCTACAGGGCCACTTCCGGTTTTCTGATGGTTTATTGGAGATAGGAGTCTCACAGTCTTTCCTGCCCGGGCTGGCTTAGAATCGTGATCCTCAGATCTCAGCCTCCTGAGTAGCTAGGATTACAGGCGTGAGCCACCAGCGCCCGGCTCCAGGATGGTTTTTGTACTACTGGAGTTTGAACTCTGGGCCTTGCACTTGCTGGGAAGGTGCTGTACCCCTAGAGCCACATCCCTAGTTATCCTAAGGATCTCTCAACTTTTCGCCTGGGCCGGCCAAGAAAAGTCGGTTTTTCCTTAAATACCTTTTTTATTTGAGCAGGGAGTGACATAATGCCAACTGGGAGGGCGGGACTGGGGGCTGAAGTCAGCTGTGGGCCAGGTGCCCCGTCCCCCCACCCCCCAGTCACCCTGGGCTCTGGACCTGTCACCTGACTGCTTTGATCACTACAGCGTCTAAAAGGGCAACGGGTCACCCAGCACCGTCCCCCGGGCCGGGGCCGGGATTCACACCCAACACCACCCCGACGTGGCCGGGGCTGGAATATTTGGTTTCACCAGCTCCGCGGCAGCGCCTGCGCAGACTCCGTGTGGGCGGGGCGGACGCCACCGGAGGCTGACGCGGCCTTGAGCCGCGCGAGCAATTCGCGCAGACTCTGTAAGTGGGGGCGTGGCCACTCAGAGTCTGCGACTGCGCAGGCTCGGGGGGAGGGGGGGGCGGTGTCGGCGTCCCGGGGGCGGGGCGCTGCCGCGCCGCGGCTGACGTGGAGGGTCCGGGTTAGCGGGCTCGGCCGGCTGCGGGATTGGGGAGCGACGGGCCGGGCCGGGCCCCTGGGCCCGAGGCGGCGGCTGCGGCGGCGGTATAAAGCCGGCGACGGGGAGCATGTAATGTCGGAATGCGGAGGCCGCGACGGCGGCAGCAGCGGCAGCGACGACGCCGAGGACGCGGGTGGCGGCGGCGGCGGGGGCGGGGGCGGCCCCGCGGGCTCCGGCTCCCTCAGCCCGGCCCCAGCGTCCTCGGAGGGCCGGCTCCGCCGCGGGCTGCGCGGCGCCTCCCTCATGGCGCGCCGGCGGCCCGAGCTGCTCTGCGGGGCGGTGGCGCTCGGCTGCGCGCTGCTCCTGGCCCTCAAGTTCACCTGCAGGTGAGGCCCGGCGCTCCGCACTCCCCGGCCCCGCGGCGCGGCGCCCCGCAACCCGGGCCGGCCCCGCCGAGCAGCCTCGGGGTCCGGCGTGTCGGGGACCGGGGCGTAAGCGGCCTGACCTTGCCTGGAGCGGAGGGGTGTGACCCGGGAGGCCCGCGACCGTGGTCTTCGCTGTGGCTTCGGGGAGCTGCCCCGCGACCCCCTTTTCCCCCCGCGTTCGTACCGAGGGAGGTGGAACCCGATGTTTGCGCTGCTTCCCAACTATTGAGGACCTGAGGGGGGGGGGGGCGTGTGTGCACCTGTCATTTCTGCCGAGGCTGGAAGACCCTCGTGTTTCCTTTCCCCTGAGCTTCCAGTGTATAGCGATTTCCAGACACCCGAGAGCCTCAGGAACCTATTAATGGTTATTTACCAGCATGACTGCCCTGCACGCCAACGATGACCAAAGTCCCAAATAGCTCTGGTGGCAATTTCAGTGCAGGGGAGACAAGGAGAGGCTGCAGGGGAGACAAGGAGAAGCAGTTTGATTTTTTATTTTGGGGGGGGGGGTGTCGGTCATGGGGCTTAAATTCTGGGCCTGGACTTTGTCCCTGAACTCTTCAGCTCAAGGCGAGCGCATCTACCACTTAGCCACGATGCCACTTCCAACAGCTTGATTTTTAAAAGTGCTTCCTAAAAGTGCCCTGCAGGTTCCCGTAGGCCTGGAGGTAAGACAGAAAGGCCTTCCTCAGGAAGTGACATCGGAAGCTTAGGCCAGAGAGGAAGGGGTCGGCCCTGGGACGACCCGGGGGAAGTGGATAGGGAAGGGGGAACAAGTCCAGAGTCCTGAGACTGGACTGGCTTGTCTTCCTGAAGTTAGAAAAGGAACTGAGTCAGTAGGCTGGAGTTCAGTAAGCAAGGAAGAACGAGACCTGTGTGCCCATTTTCAGGAAAGAACACAGATACAAGTTTTCTATTTCTGCTGAATTTCTGGCCTTCCCAAGCTCTAGAGAATCTCTCTCTCTCTCTCTCTCTTTTTTGTTGGTCGTGGGGCTTGAACTCTGGACCCTGGGCCCCGACCCTAAGCTCTCCAGCTGAAGGCAAGCGCTCTACCACTTGAGCCACAGTGCCACTTGGTTTTCTGGTGGTTAATTGGAGATAAGAGTCTCACGACTTTCCTGTCCAGGCTGGTTTTGAACTGTGATTCTCATATCTCAGCCTCCTGAATAGCTAGGATTACAGACATGAGCCACTGGCACCCAGCTGAATCTCTTTTTAAAAAAACAAAAAACAAAAAAACCCATCTTTTTTATGTGCAGGTAGTGGAGCTTGAACTCAAGGCCTGGGAGCTTTCCCTGAGGTTTTTTTCAGCTTTCTCTGCCACTTGAACCACACCTCTATTTCTGGCTTTTTGGTGGTTAATTGGAGATAAAAATCTTACTGATTTTGCTGTCCCTGCTGGCTTCAAACTTCGAACCTCCGATCTTAGCCTCCTGAGTAGTTAGGATTTACTGGTGTGAGCCATCAATGTCTGGCTCTAGAGTTATCTTCTGAACTATCGGGTTGTAAAAGCTCCATTGCCCCTGAAATTTCTTCTTGACCAACTACAGGGATATTTCAGCTGATGACATTTCTCAGCTTATTGAGCACAATTTGTGGCTCCTGTTGTCAAAGAGGTGTCAGAGGGTTGGGGATTGGAGTGGAAGGAGCAGTTTGTCATTGAGCATTAGCCATGTGCCAGATGCTAAACTCAGCAAGTTTCTCAGTCTCTGGCACTGCTGATCTTTTGGGGCAGACAATTGTGTGTTGTAGAGGGCTGTCCTGTGCCTTCTCTCGTGCTCAGTGGCTGTGCCCACTGGATGTGAATAGCACACACTCCAGATATGGCACCCTGAAATGTCTCCAGACACTGCTTGACAGCTCCTGGCAGACAAAAGTGCCTGCTTGGGAACTAGCGTTTCCATCAATGAATTTGCTCATTTAACATCTACATAAGAACCTCGTAAGGATGTCATTTAAAACTTATAGTTCTGGGGCTGGGAAGGTGGCTCAGTGGTAGAGTGCTTGCCTTGCATGCATGAGGCCCTGGGTTCAATTCCTCAGCACCACATAAGAAAAAAGCTGGAAGTGGCGCTGTGGCTCAAGTGGTAGAGCGCTAGCCTTGAGCTGAAGAGCTGAGGGACAGCGCCCAGAGTTCAGGCCCCACAACCGGACCCCCCCAAAAAAGCTTATAGTTCCTAAAAATGGCTGGATACACTATAATTCTTCCCACCCTATAGATGAAGCAGACAAGGCTTGGTCATCTTGCAAAACCTGCCCCAAATCATACCCACCTATTAAGTGACACAGTTGTTGGAGTTTGAATTCATTATCAGGACCTACACTCCTTTTCTCCCCGCCTCCCCCCACCCCCCATTTTGATCAGTCCTAGGGCTTGAACTCAGGGCCTGGGCACTGTCCCTGAGCTTCTTTTTGCTCAAAGCTAGTGCTCTACCACTAGAGCCACAGCACCACTTCCAGCCTTCCCCCCACTCCACCCTGTGGTACGGAGGAATTGAACCCAGGGCATCCAAGTCAAGCACTCTCCCACTTAGCCCCATTCCCAGCCCCAGGACCTACACTCTTAACCTTGCTCTTTATCACTGTTCTCCACAAGAAAGATATACAATGTATTTTCCAGGTAGAATATTGCAAGTTGGCATTTAGGTTCAAATTAAGAAGGAAGGTCCTCTCCTGCAAGAAAGAGGATTTTATTTACATTTATTTGCCCAGCTGTCGAAATAATGTTTAACACTTTATCAGAGACAATTTAGTTTGACGTAGTAGATAGGAGAGTCCTTGAGACCTCAGGAAGAAGGGATAGTGTAAATCCGGTTTCTAGAGTTGGCAGAACAAGGTCCTTAACCACTTCTGGTGACGAGAATGAGGCTGTGAATGCTGTTTATTTACTCATTGTCTTTTTATGCTGCTGCTGGCAGATAGGACAGTCTTTTTTTTATTAGCCTCATATTAATATTTTTGGTCCTTTTGGATAGAATGGTGTCAAGATACTACTTTATTGTTGAACAACTGGCACTAACATTTCTACCCTTTATTTTAACATCTTTAAAGCTGGGTGCCAGGGGCACATGCCTGTAATCCTATCTACTTAGGAGGCTACGATTCAAGGCTAGCCCAGGTAGAAAACTTGTTGCGACCTTGTTACATCATTGTGACCACGGAATGTCTACATTGGTAGTTCTCTTTATCTCTGAGGAAGGTGGCACTTTAAGAGGGTTGTGTGCTACCTGCTGCAGCCTCAGTACCTGTGCTCAGCACACTACAAGTTGCCCAGTGAATGGTTTTGTTTTTGTGCCGATGGTGGGGTTTGAACTCAGGACCTAGGCTGTCCTTTAGCCTCTCTGCTCAAGGCTGGTGCTCTACCACTTGAGCCACAGTTCCATTTCCAGCTTTTTGCTAGTAAATTGGAGATTAATTCCTGATTTATTGAGATATTTAATCAGATTTGTCTTCCTGGGATAGCTTTGAATTATCTTCAGATATCAGCCTCCTGGGTAGATAGAATTACAGGCCAGCTAGGGATTCTTCAACTAAGACTTTCCAATGATTGATGGGGTTTTCAGTTGTGATTATGTTCAGCATGGACTGAGCAGTTCACCGAGCAGTTCACTGCTCAGTTCACCGAGCAGTTTCAATGATTGAGTAGATTTGCTATTTTTAGCAATTGCTATTTTTTAGTACTTTGCCTGTTTGAAGATTTTTTTTTTTTTTTTTTTTTTTGGGTCCGGTCGTGAGGCCTGAACTCTGGGCCTGGGCGCTGTCCCTCAGCTCTTCAGCTCAAGGCTAGCGCTCTACCACTTGAGCCACAGCACCACTTCCGGCTTTTTTCTTTTTGCTTATGTGGTGCTGAGGAATCGAGCCCAGGGCCCCAGGCATGCAAGGCAAGCGCTCTACCACTGAGCCACCTTCCCAGCCCCTGTTTGAAGATTTTGTATAAATGTGGTCATAGTTTTAGAATTTCTTTTTGCCTTGCACTGTTTGTTTTTCTTTATTCTTATTTTAGTACTAGGGTTTGAACTCGGGGCCTTGTGCTTGCTAGGCAGGTGCTCTATTACTTGAACCACACCTCTAGACCCAAATGCAACCATTTTATATGTATTCTATAGTTCCTCCCCTCCTCCTCGTTTCCTTTGGAACTTGTCCAAGTTATGGTATGTGTAAGGAAGCTTTTGTTATGTTTGGGAATAATGTTGAACTTAGAAGAATAAGGAAGCCTTAGTTTATCCTTTGGGCTGATGAGTCATGCCAGAGCCTGTGTGTACTATGAACATGGTGTCTCTTCTGATCCTTATGCTTCTGTTTGTGTGTGTGTGTGTGTGTGTGTGTGTATGCATGCGTGCATGCATACATGTGCATGCGTGCTCCAGCCAGCCAGTCCTGGTTCTTGAACTCTGGGACTGGGTGCTGTCCCTGACTTTTTGTGCTCAAGGCTAGAGCACTGTCACTTAAGCTATTGTCCAACTTTTTGGTAATTTGGTGGAGCTAAGAGTCTCATAGACTTTCTTGCCTGAAGTGGCTTCAAACTGCGATCCACAGATCTCAGCCTCCTGACTAGCTGGGGAGACGTGAGCCACTAGCACCTGACTCATGTCTATATTTTAAGGTGTCTCCCTTAGATGACTTACACCTAGGCCTGGCAGTCTCTTCCTCTCAGTGTACATGTTTTGTTCCCTTACAGTTCATGTGGTTTAAGTATTGCCACTTGTTTTTCCACTGGCACCTTCTAGGTTTTGATCTTTTTTTGTAAGTGGAGGCGGGGGTTGGGAGGGGTGGGGAGAGGGACAGTCGTGGGGCCTGAACTCTGGGCCTGGGCACTGTCCCTGAGCTCTTCAGCTCAAGGTGAGTGCTATACTACTTGAGCCACAGCACCACTTCTGGCTTTTTCTGCTTATGTGATGGTGAGGACTCAAACCCAGGGCCTCATGTATGCAAGGCAAGCGCTCTACCACTGAGCCACCTTCCCAGCTGTGTTTTGATCTTTTCTTGGCTCTCTTTGCCTTCTTTTGGGTTAATCTTGTATTTTTAGAGTTCCATTTTTATGTCCTTTGTCTCCATGCTAAGCTGCTCTAAGGGCTTCGTGCTGGGGAGTGCATTTATGGGAAGAGCTCAGGGTATTTGTCAGATTCATTTTAACTTGGTGGGTCACTGCCCTCGCCCAGACCTGTTTCAGTGGGAAAGTTGCAGCTACTCTGTTGCTTCTGGCTTCTGTTTGTTCAGCACCTCAGGTGTTCTGGAAGCCTGCTTTCTAGTTAAGTAGGTGACTGCTGTTACTCAGCTTCCTTGCCCTGTGGATTTTGATGTGAGAAGAAAGGTGTATTGTTGCTGAGCTGTTACTTTGGTCTGAGTGCCCTGGGTAAGGTAGGTAGCTATTAGTCTACCTACTAAACTTTCTGCTTCCCAAAGTTGCGTCCACCAGAGCATCTCTCTTAGAAATCTCACTAGTGTGGCCTCAGTGCTCCTTCTCCATACTCTGTGTACAAGAGTTGGTGACCCTCATGGCTTGGAGATGAGTGTGTCCTGTGGGGGCAAAGCAGTGAGGATGGGGCCTTGGGTGTGGGAGGTAAAACTGGAGTTGACTGGTTTCCGCTGTTCTAGTCTTTATCAGTCACCTCGGAAGTGTTCATGTCTATATTAGCCTGGCTAATGGCACCTTAGCATAGTATATTACTTTTTCAGGTGCTTTGTACATACCAGGCAAAGATTTTTTTACCACTTGAGCCATACCTGTAGTCCTTCTTGCTTTAGTTATTTTTCTAGTAATTATTTTCAAATAATTATTCTTAGATTAGAGCCTAGGTTAACCTGGACTGCAGTCCTCCTGTTTATGCTTCCCACACAGCTGGGATGACAGGCTACATATACATCACTGTGCACAGCTGTTGGTTGAGATGGAGATCTCATAAACTGTTTGCCTGGCTGGCCTCAAACTACGGTCCTTCTGATCTCTACCTCCTGAGTGACTGCATTAATGAACATGACCTTCATTTTCCTTTCACACAATGTTGTTGGATTGTTGTGTTAGAAGATTAAAAATTATCATTGTTAGAAGATTAAAGTTGTTATATTTGCTCTTTTTTAGTCGAGCAAAAGATGTGATAATACCAGCAAAGCCACCTGTCAGCTTTTTCTCCTCGAGGTCTCCGGTCCTTGACCTCTTCCAGGGGCAGCTGGACTATGCAGAGCATGTTCGCCACAACTCAGAGGTGGTACTGCTGTTCTTCTATGCCCCGTGGTGTGGCCAGTCAATCGCCGCCAGAGCAGAAATCGAGCATGCAGCAAGCCAGCTTTCAGACCAGGTAACACTTTCTGCCCAAGAAACTAATGATGGTGAAGCCTGGGCATAGGGGAAGATTGCCCATACAGACACCTTGACTACCTGTCAGTTTTGCCAAGGTGAACTCTAGGAGTGGTTTGTGACTGGTAAAGCCTTTTGGAAAGAAACAGGGATTCTAGCTGTGATGTTATAATCAGAGTCAAGAGTGAGAGAAATTTCTACATTTACAGATGTGGGCCAGTGCTCATCCTATGATGCCAGTCTGATTTCAGTGCTGCAGGAAATAGGGAGAGTGAAAATATAAGTTCTTACATAGCCATTGATATTTACTAATTAGGGGCATTATATATAAGGGTATGTATGAGAAGACTACATTGTAACAAGACTGACCTTTTTACTACATGGTCCAGAATAATATTCAACAGATGTGTAATGAATGCCACCTTGGACTAGGAAAGATGATAGATAAAATGAATCCCTTGAGCAAGGTGCTACTGGCTCATGCCTATAATCCTAGCTATTCAGGAGACTGAAATCTGAGGATCACAGTTCAAAGCCTGCCAAGGCAGAAAAGTCCATGAAACTCTTTATCTCCACTAAAAACAAAACAAAACAAATAGCTCAGGACAGTGCCTAGGTCCTAAGTTCAAGCCCCAGGACCGGCACCAAAAGTAAAAAACAAAACAAAACACAACAAATCCTTGTTATGCAGTAAATCCCAGTTATCCTTTAGAAAACGAGTATTTGAAGATGTCCCTTTTTCATCATAGGTGATGCAATTTCCCCACACATGCAATTTCAAAATCATCTAGTGCGCTGATTATAACAAAGAAGTGGTGGGGATAAGGATGTATACAGATGCACAGGAAAAGCGAGTCCTTTTACCTCTGTGCAGAGCCATGGACAGGGACAGTTAGCCATTCAAACTGATGACGTTTTCCAGGCTCCCTGCTGGCTCTGGGCCAGACAAAGCCCTTGTTCTCTGCCCTGTTCACACAAGAGGATTCAGGGAACACAGCCCCTGTGCCTTGTGTTCCTGTGTAAGCAAGAAGGAGGGTCTGGGTCTGGGTCTGGGTCATGACATGGGTTTTCCCCAGCACTTGTGTCTGGCAGGCATTTAGAACTGCTATAAGGGGATATGGATGGCTGTTCCCTGTCCTGAGCAGCCTTGAGTTTTGCAAGCCATCGGCCAGTGCCCTGCCTTACACATGCCCTGTGGCTTCCCCCAACCATTACAGAAGACACCACAGAGTTGTCAGAGGTCCTGCTGAGATACACAGATCTGAGGATCTCTGCTACACTCTGACTTGCAGGAGTTTGTGTGGAACTCTCAGTTATTTTTTTCTTAGAAACAAGAAGTGTTGTAAATGGTGCCAGCCCAGCCCAGCAAAGCTGCCTTAACCATTACAACCCCCAAAGTATACCAAATACTTGTATAGGGCAGCCCTGCATTCTTTACTACATCAGCCCTTCCAGTGTGGACTCAGCACCAGGAGGCTGGCAGAGTATCATCTTCTGCAGTCAGTTCCCAGTTTTTTGAGTGAGTGTGGAGAGGATAGGCCCTGACTCCCTGTAGGGAAGGGGGAATCTAAGGTGTATACTACATAAGCTTGCTGTCACTCTTAAGTGGTGACACGAATGGGAACAGGTGCTGCTCCTGTTCCCAACAGCTCTGGAAGCTGCTGCCATTTGTAGTCTAGGCTTTCTAAAGTAGAGACTTGGGTGCTGGCATGTTGTTAAAGGTCCCATAGCAACAGGCAGTGTGGCTCTTTAAAAAACGTTTTCTCAGTTCATTCCAAATTGAGAGCATATTGTTCCATGTGCTCACTAGGGAAAAGCACTAGATTTATTTTTAGAACATTTCGCTTAGTAAAATTAGCAAGGTAGTTTGCCTTGTTTTTGAGAAAAAAGGAAATTTCACCCATAAGTAAATATGTTGCTTTTCCTGTCTTAGAACCTAGACTCTAAGAGTAATTCTGTTCTAAACATTTGCCACTAAGTTTTGAACAACTGTGGGTTTTTTGGGGTGTTGTTTTGTTTTTGGTATAGGACCTGGGGCTTGAATTCAGGGCATGGGCATTGTCCTTGGGGTCTTGTGTTCAAGGCTAGCGCTCTACTACTTGAGCCCACATCTCCACTTGCAGTTTTTTTGTTGCTGGTTAATTAGAGATAAGAGAGAGTCCCATGGACTTTCCTGCCTGGGCTAGCTTAGAACCATGATCCTCAGATCCTCAGCCTCCTGAGGAGCTAGGATCACAGGTGTGAGCCACTGGCACCCAGCTAACAATGGTGTTTTGTGCTAGGTGGTGTAAAGCATTTGAAGGTGGCTTTTTGTATATATTCTATCCTTGAGATTTTTGAATTATAAGCTATGAAAAGTTTCAGACATGCAGCAAAGATTTAAGAATTTTACCTTTACTTCCCATGTAAATTCTGCTAGCATTTTGTGTATGAGTTTGTCATGTATTTATCATCTTACCTCTATCTGGGTTGTTGGCTAGAGACATTTTTTTTCCCCCCTTGGTAACCCTGGGTTTAAACTCAGGTTCTCAAATTTGCTTGCTAAGCAAATCTGAAAAGTCTACTACTTGAACCATTCTTGAGCCCTTAGAGACTTTTTTCCCCCTGCTGCCTGGCTCTCAGGACATGTAGCTCTCTGCCTGGATACAATTTGATGGTCACTTCAGGAAAAGAGGGTGCTATTGGTATCTAGCGGGTAAAGGCCAGGAAAATTGTTAAACATCCTGCATCATCCTCAACCATTCTCATAATGAGAGCAAATGAAACCCTAACACTTTTCTCAGCCCAGGGTGACAAGAGTACTCCAAGCCATCAAGCCGTCTTAGTTATGGATGAATTTCAAAGTGAATTGCAGATATCAGGACACAGCTTTGGCATCTGTTTATAAGGTGCATTTAATCCATGTTTTTACTTTTTTTTTTCCCTAGAGCTGGGGAACAAACCCAAGTCCTTGTCCATGCAAGGCAAGCACTGTACCACTGAGCTACATCCCCATCCCTTTTATTGTTCACTATGAACTAACTTTTTGTTTTGTTGGGGTTTTTTGTTGAGGTGGAGCTTGAACTCAGGGCCTGGGATCTGTCTCTGAGCTCTTTTGCTAAAGGCTAGCACTCTACCACTTTGAGTCATAGCGCCACTTCCTGAACTAACTTTTAGAGTAAGGCTTAAGCCATTAGTTACCTCATTAGCTTTAAAGTAATCATTTATTTCTGACATTCAGAATGTTTTATTGGCAGTAACATTTCATATTTTATTTTCAGACACTCAGTTTGACAATCAAAAGACCTCTACCCCCAATACAGGAATCAAACCCAGGTTTTCACTCATGCTGGGCAAGCACTGTATTGCTGAGCCACATCCCTAGCCTGGGGCATTTACCATGTCTTTTTTCTTTTCTTTTTGTGTCAGTATTGGGGCTTGATCTCAGGGCCTAGGCTCTGGACTTAGCTTTTTCACTCCAGTCTGATACTCTGCCACTTGAGCCACAGTTCCACTTCTGACTTTCTGGTGGTTAATTTGAGATAAACTTCTCACAGACGTTCCTGCCTGGGCTAGCTTCAAATTCTCAAATCTTAGCCTCCTAAGTAGCCAGGAGTATAGGTGTGAGGCAGTGGTTCCCTGCTCATTTCCTTATAACTATGTATGCTGAAGACAAACTCCTTGGTACTCACTCACTTCAAGTCATTTCCTCTTGGGCCAGACTCCAAGTTCTAGCTGACACTGGAGACGAGTCTGTCTTTTTTATTTTAGTGGCAGATGCTTGAAACAGATTTTTAAAAATATACTTTCTGTTTCATTGAGAGGACTAGTTCCATTTTTATCCTTTCATCTTTCAGTCTGGTAACTGTTGGGTTGTTCTTCATGGTTATTTGAAACCTTACTTGGTTCTGCAGGTGTTGTTTGTGGCAGTTAACTGTTGGTGGAACCAGGGAAAATGCAGAAAGCAGAAGCACTTCTTCTACTTTCCTGTCATCCATCTGTATCACCGCAGGTAAGAGCTACCCTGGGCCTTCCAGCTTCACCTCCTGTTATCCTCATGAGAAAGTACTAGTGGTGCACTGTGGGAGACACAAATAGATAAATTAATAAATAACTCCAAAACAGTCACATCCATATGTAATCACTGTGTTTTGCTTTATTTTCTCCTTTGAATATACATTATCTATGCCCTTTCTATTTACTTATTTATTTATTTATTGTTTTTGTCAGTTGTGGGAATTGAACTCGGCCTGGGCACTGTCCCTGTGCTCTTTTGCTCAATGCTAGTGCTCTACCACTTTGAGCCGCAGTGCCACTTCCTGTTTTTGAGTGGCTAATTGGAAATAAGAGTCTCATGGGGACTATTCTGTCCTGGCTGGCTGGGAGCCATGATCCTCAGATCTCAGCTTCCTGAGTAGCTAGGATTACAGGCGTGAGCTACTTACTCCTGGCTTCTATGCCCTTTTTATAAAGATGGGACCAAATAATAATCTTATTTCCTAAACTGCTTTTTCTCACTTTTTACATCATTATGTATATTACAGAATTGGTTTCAAATACACAATTACTACATTGTATGGCTTGCAAAGCAAGCTACCAGATACTTTTCTGTTTTTTTCTTTTAGGTGGTACTGACGTTTGAACTTAGGACCTTGCACTTACTAAGCAGGTGCTTTTTTAAGCCACAGCCCCCAGCCCTTTTTGGTATAGTTGCTTTTTGAATTAGGGTCTCACATTTATGTCTAGGCTGACCTGAACTGTAATCTTCCCTCCTGTTTACACTTCCATATAGCTGTGATAACAAGTGTGTGCCACTGTGCCCAGCTTTTTATTGGTTTAAGAGCGTCTCATTAATTTTTTGCCTGGGCTGGCTGGAAATTTGATCCTTCAGATCCCTTTCCTAAGTATTTAGGATTTCAGGTGTAAGCAATTGCATCAAGTTATGACTTTTTTCTTGAAATTATAATTTGTTAGTGGTTGATGGGATTGGTAGTGATAATGTGGTTTTTAAGCTGAGCTAATTTGTGGCCTTAACTCTTGAGTTCCAGCTATGCATGTGGAATGCTGGTTTATTTTTCTCACACTGTTTCTTTGCTATCATTCTGCAATGCACAATGGAGAATTGTGTTTGTCTTGTGTATTCTTATAACCAAGGATGAATAAAATTCTTTACTGTGCTCTGGCTGTCGTTGCTATTAACCATAAACTTTCTGTGTAGAGGAAGGAATGTTACAGACTTGCTGGATTTTATACCCCTTCCCTTTAGTTCATTTGGCCGTGTTTGGAAGATGGAGACAGCCAGGCCCTGTTTCGGATTAGTTTGGGAGGCTATTGAGAGCCAGGCGGGAAGCTGACTAGATTAGAGGACAACTGAATGGTAGTTTATCACTGACCAGCACTGGATCATCAGCTCCCCACCCCCCCAAGCCCTAAGGGAAAGGAAGACTTTTTTCTGTTGCAATTATATATATATATATATATATATATATACACACACACACACATACATATATATATACATATATACAAACATATATATGTACCTGAGATAATATTAAACAGCTACTTCTTTTCTTTTCTTTTTTTCAAAATTTTTATTGTGATTAAGTGCTTACATAAATTTCCCAAATTTCACAGTATTGTGGGATAGTGATGCTTAGTTAAAGTCATAGACACCTTCTAACTTTCATGGAGCAAATTGTCAATCATGGTCTATAACATTTATGAGTTCACGAGCTTTGCAATAGTTATTTCTTCCACATTGGGTGATATGTACATTTCTTTTGTTTTGCATACTGTCAGCTGTTCCCTCTTTCCCACTCGTTCCCTCCCTCCCATCGCTGCCATTGAGTTGCTTAGTTCATTTTGGTCAATGTCCAGTGCAGCTGATGGGTCCCACTGTTGTATGTTTTTCCGATTCCCTCTGGCTCTAAACAGCTACTACTTAGTAGGCTGGGGGTTCACTGCCCACCTTGTTCTTTACGGCAAAGTGACATGAAGAAAGTATCTACTCAAATTGTGTCTTAAAGTCTTGGAGTCCCTGAGCCTGGGCTTAGTACCAGGGCCATGCTTTTTGGTTTTATAAACATTTTGTGGGAATTGATTACTTTCAGAGGGTTAGAATGGATTTAATTTGCAGTTGAACTAAACGCATAGAAGGCTAACAGCTGCTGGGACCTCCTTGTATCTAAAGTAGAGATTCTTTCTGTTTTCTTGCTTTTCAAGACAAGGTTGGGTCTTGTTGCTTCTTAATTACACCTGCAGTCACTTCTAAGCGGCAGCTGTTTACCTGTGAACCCATCAGATACTAAAGTGGGACATTTTCATTCTGTGGTATTCATGATTTTAGTTCTTCATTGCAGTTTGTGCACATTATAATTATTTTTTACTTCTTTTTTTTTGGCACTAGTTTTGGACCAATTGAATACAAAGGCCCCATGAGTGCTGTTTACATTGAGAAGTTTATCCGCCGGGTGATGAAGCCCCTTTTGTACATCCCATCTCAATCGGAGCTACTAGATTTTCTCTCAAACTATGAGGTACCATTTTTAACATCTCCTGTCTGTTTTCAAGACCTTTTATTTCTATACTGCATTGTTTATATCAAAAGTGGCTTTTTTCCAGTATTGTACAATAGTTGTAATTGTACAAAGTGGTATGTTTCATTACGACATTTTCATACTAATTGAAAAATATCTTTATGCTGGATACCAGTGGCTCATGCTTGTAGTCCTGACTACTCATGAGGCTGAAATCTGAGGATCACAGTTTGAATCCAGCGTGGGCAGGAAAGTCTGGGAGACTCTTATCTCCACTTACCTACCAAAAAGCTGGAGGTGGAGCTGTGGCTTAAGTGATAGAATACCAACCTTGAGTAAAAAAGCTAACGGATATCCCTTAGGCTCTGATTTCAAGCACCAGGACTGGCATAAAACAACAGCAGCAACAACAACAAAAACATTAAAAATGTACCTTTAGAGTTGCAGCAATAATAAGCTCAAATTATAGATAAGATCCCCAGTTCAATGCATTCAGATGCTGATCTTGGATGGTTTGGGCACATGAAATTAAGAGACTAGAAAACAGCAAAATCTTATTTGTGGTTTGCTTGACAATTTTTAGCAAACTTATACCTTGTTTCAGTTCACTGCAGTATATGAAAATTATCTTGTAAATTACACACAGCTGCAAGTTTCTGTGACCTACCTTTGCTTTGTTTTGCTTTGTTTTTTGTGTTTTTTTTTTTGTTGGTCATGGGGCTGAACTCTTGGCCTTGGCTCTGTCCCTGAGCTCTTCCGCTCATGGCTAGCACTCTACTACATGAGCTACAGCACCACTTCCTGCTTTTTCTGCTTATGTGATGCTGAGGAATTGAACCAGGGCCTCATATATGCAAGGCAAGCACTCTACCACTGAGCCACCTTCCAAGCTCTTGTACCTGGTTTTCTTGTTTTGTTTTATTTTTTTTGTTGGTTGTGGGGCTTGAATTCTGGGCCTGGGCGCTGTCCTTCAGCTCTTCAGGTCAAGGTGAGCACTCTACCACTTGAGCCACAATGCTACTTCTGGTTTTCTGGTGGTTAATTGGAGATAAGAGTCTCACAGACTTTCCTGCTCAGGCTGGTTTTTAACTACAATCTCAGCCTCCTGAGTAGCTAGGATTATAGCTGTGAGCCACTGGTGCCTGTCTCTATCTTTTCTTGTTGTAGCTGGGCTTTTCTAAAAACTTGGTATTTCTTTTCTGTTTTATTTATAAATTATTTGATGGTGCTGGGTTTTGAACTCAGGATAGGGCCTCATGCTTGCTAGACCAGTTCTGAACCACTTCAGCCATACCCTCCGCCCCTTTCTGTTTTGTTGAGTGTGTGCTGCTTCAAGGTCTTACAGCCTGTTTCCTAACTTTGGTAATATGGCTTCTTTCCTGCTTCCCTATCACCACCTTCAGCCTCATAAATTGGCACCCAGCTGGAATTCCCACTTCTATAAGGAATTGTTTTGTAATAAAACTGATAAAAAGTGTTCTTTTGGTGTTGGGCACCTGTAATCTTAGTTACTCAAGAGGCTGAGATCTCACGGTTCAAAGCCAGCCTAGGCAAGGAAGTTCATGAAACTTTTTCCCACTTAATCAGCAAAAAAAGCCAGAAGTAGAGGTGTGACTCAACAGGTAGAGCAACATCCTTGAGCCAAAAAACAAGTGAGAGTGAGAGGCCTTGAGTTCAAGCTCCAGCACCAGCATCAAAAGAAGAAAAAAGAAAAAAAGGAAAGTTCATATCCAAGCTGGCAACTTCTGAAGTCCTAGTTACTCAGGAGGCTTGAGATCTGAGAATCTTTGTTTAGAGCCAGCCTGGGCAAAAAAAGTACTAGAGACTCCATCTCCAAATCAGAAAAATGCAGGACTGAAAGGTTTTTTGTTTGTTTTTTCAGTTATGGGACTTAAACAAGAGTCTGGGTGCTGTCCCTGAGCTCCTTTGCTCAAGGCTAGTGCTCGACCACCTTGAGCCACAGCACTACTTTCAGTTTTCTGGTGGTTAGATTTGAGAGTCTCATGGATTTTCCTGCATGGGCTGGCTTTGAACCATCATCCTCAGATCTCAACCTCCTAAGTAGCTAAGATTACAGGTGTAAGAATTGAAACTTCAGGATCTAGCTAGAGGTTAAAGTTTCAAATAGTTAATTATTTTCTGAACATTTGAATCTTCTTCCATGATAGAAAAGTTTGGAAGGTGTTGGCCTTCATTTATCTTAGGTATTATGTGAGTAATGTTTTTTTATTCTTTTAAAAGTTTCTGATTTGTACCTCAACCCTCAAAATGGTAATGGTATTAGTATTTAAAACTTTTATTTGTACCTGGTGCTGTTGGCTCACGCCTGTAATCCTAGCTTCTCAGGAGGTTGAGATCTGAGGATTGTGGTTCAAAGCCAGACTGGGCAGGAAAGTCTGTGAGACTCTTTATCTCCAACAAACCACCAAAAAACCAGAAGTGGCACTGTGACTCAAGTGGTAGAGCACTTTCCTTGAGCTGAAGGGCTGAGGGACAGCACCCAGGCCCAGAGTTCAAGCCTTACAACTCAGAGAAAAAAACAAAACAACTTTTATTTTGTAAAATATTTTATAAATCTTTTTGCGAACTTACACAATTTACCTACTTCAGAACAGCTGGTTAATGTTCGTTCATTCATCCATCTGTTAATTCATTTGTTTATTTTTGGCCAGTCATAGGGCTTGAACTGAGGGCCTGGGTGCTGTCCCTTAGCTTCTCCACTCAAGGCTAGTACTCTACTAGTTGAACCACTCTTCCATTTCTGGCTTTTTGCTGGTTAATTGTTGATAAGAATGTCTCAGGGGATTTGTCTGCATAAGTTGGCTTTGATCTGTGATGCTTAGATCTTAGCCTCTTAACCAAGATTATAGCCACCAGCTCCTGGACATTCATTTATTCTTAAAGTCTTGTGAAGTGTTTTAAATTTAAGTAGGATTGAAAAAGGCTTGGGATTGTTTTTGAGGGAGTGAGAGTTAGGTTAATTGCCAGGTGAGAGAAAAATCTAGGTTTTGGAGAAAACTTAGAATGCTTACCTCCCAGTATTACAATATTGGCTTGTCAATATATGATTTACATAATTTACATGTAAATCTCCACCTGAATGTTGAGCAGAGAGCTACCTCTGTGAGTGCATAGCTTTACAGCACAAACAGTCAAAACAGTTTTGTATTTTCTAGGTGAGAGTGTTAACATTTGAAATGGAGTATTTCAGGTAGCATTGAGTAAAAGCACATGGAGAAGGGTGTGTGCCATCTGCTGGATGTGGTTGGTACTACTTGCAGGTGATTTTCACCTGCTCATTAAAACGGCGCTAAATACACCACACCACAGAGTGGCATGAACTTATCAGCTAGGTCAGGCTATGCTCTGCCACTCACTAGGTCTTGCTGCTAAATTTTTTTTTTTCTTTGGGGGGTGGTGGTGGCGGTTTGAACTCAGAGCCTGGGCTTTCTCTCTGAGCCCCTTTGCTTGGCTTGTGCTCTACCACTTGAGCCACAGCTCTACTTTCAGCTCTTTTGGTGGTTAATTGGAGACAAGAGTCTCATGGATTCTCCTGCTCAGGCTAGTTTGAAGCTGCGGTCCTCGGATCTCAGCCTCCTGAGTTGCTAGGATTATTGGCGGGAGCCACGAGCACCTGGCTGGGTCTTGCTGTTTGCTAAATTACAAACTTGAAGGAGGAGCTTTGTTTTAGTTACTTTTTTACTTTTTTTGGTCAGTTATTGGGCTTGAACTCTGGGTCTGGGTGCTGTCCCTGTGCTCTTCAGCTCGAGGTGAGCGCTCTACCACTTGAGCCACAGCGCCACTTCCAGCTTTTTTACTTTTTTGTCCCTGTTGTAAATTGTTTGCTGTTCTGTGTCAGGCACCTTCTGATGTGGAAGTATATTTATGAACAAGAGAGTCTCTATTTCATAGAGTTATAGCATGGACATAGACACCAAACAGGAAAACATTTTTTAGTAGGTGCTAGAACTCAAAATCATGCCCTTTGCTCATGCAAGCTGCACCCCAGGCAAGTAGCCCTTAGAATTTATTTAACCTATTATATATAGCAGGTATTTCACATTTATATATCCTCTAATTATCATATGTAGTCATTGAATTTGTATTCCTCATTTGTTTGGTAATGAAAGATGAAAATAATTTTGTGTGTCCTGTTGGTGAATTTCTTTGGTCAAAGAACCAGCTTAGGTCAGGCACCAGTAGTTCACCCCTGTAATTCTAGCTACTCAGGAGGAGGCTGAAATCTGAGGATTGTAGTTCAAAGCTAGCCTGGGCAGGAAAGTTCGTGATACTCTTATCTCCAATAAACTACCAAGAAAGCTGGAAGTGGCGCTGTGGCTCAAGTGGTAGAATGCTACTGAGCAAAAGAAGTTCAGGGACAGAGTCCAGGCCCAGAGTTCAAGTCCCAGGATTGGGGGGGAGAGGGGAGGAACCAGCATAGGCCAGGCACTGATGGTTCACACTTGTAGTCCTAGCTAGTAAGGAGGCTGAGATCTAAGGATCTCAGTTTGAAGCCAGCCCAGGCAGGAAAGTCCATGAGACTCTCACCTCCAATTAATGACCAAAAAGCCAGAAGTGGAGTTGTGGCTCAAGGTGGTAGAGCATTAGCCTTGATCATAAAAGTTCAGGGACATTACTCAGGTTATAAGTTCAAGCCCTAAGACCAGCACACACAGAAAATAACCAGCTTGAGTTGGTTTGTCTTCTTCCTTCCCTTTCTCCTTCCTTCTTCCTTTTCTTCCCTCTTTTCCTCATCCTCCTGCACTTGTTGTTGGTGGTGGTGGTGGTAGTGGTCATAGGGCCTGAACTCAGCCTGGGCGCTGTCCCTGAGCTCTTCAGCTTAAGGAGAGCACTCTACCACTTGAGCCACAGCGCCACTTCTGGCTTATTGGAGATAAGAGTCTCATGGGCTTCTCCTGCTGGGGCTAGCTTTGAACCAATATCCTCAGATCTCAGCCTCCTCAGTAGCTAGGATTGCAGGCATGAGCCACTGGCGCCCTGCTCCGCACTTCTTTTTATAGTATTGTGGTTTTGAATTCAGGGCCACCTTGCACTATATACCTTAGCCCTCTTTGCTTTAGTTATTTTTCAGGTAAGGTTTCATTCTTTCTGTCCAAGGTTGGCTTCAGACTGTGGTTCTTCTACCTAACCTTCTGCATCGCTGAGATTATAACCAACCTTTCACCATGCCTGGCTTATTGTTTGAGTGATAGTCTCACCAATTTTTTGCCTGGACTGGCCTTGAGCTTTGATCCTCCTATCTCCTCTCTGGCCACTAGAATGACAGAGTAAGAGCCACTGTATTTGGCAAGCTTATGCCTTCTGACTCCAGACACAGTACTTTTTCCTTGGGCATTTTACAATTGAGCTTTCATAGATAGATCAGATTATCACAGAACCAAACTGGGCAGAACCCCACAGGACTCCCAAAGAGTGAGTCACAGGAGGCGGGTGATCCCTGTGGGGCCAGTTCACAGGTTAGCAAATGGCAGGACCTCCCTGCCCAGATTAGAGCAGGGGATGGAGCAGGTAGCAATGAGTGTGAGTGTGAAAGAGCAAGAGGGCACACTAAGCTGGCCAGAGAGGAGGCTTCGCCCTGATAGTTTGGGGGCTTGATCCTAGGGGAGGCCATTCAGTAAAGCCTGGCTTCCAGCAAGGCAGAAGGTAACATAAGCTATCTCCCAGGCCTACATACAGGAATACAAATCAACAAGGGGTCTTGAACTGAACAGTATGTATAAACTAAACCCAGGAAAAGGTGTACACAATTTTGCTATAGCTCGCCTGGAGTCGTGACAACAAAGGCAGTGAGCATTCCTTCCCTTCACACCCCCTCATCTATACATAGTGAGGTTTCCAGCCACGGGCTGGAAAAGCTTGCAGCAGAGGCCAAAATCTCTGCCTGGGGAAGGAGAAAGAAGTTCAGCTTCTGGGACCACCCTTGAAACTGCTGGGGCTCCATCCCTTCTCCCTGGTGGTATCACAAAGAGATGAAGTTCCCCCAGCTCCAGCCTTCCTCGGGCTTCCTAGAGAGGGAAGCACAGCACACTGCACTGGTCAGATGTTCTAATTCTGCAAATGTCTGTCACTGACCTGCCTGTGTCTTCTTCCTGCAGCCTGGGGTTCTGGGCTACTTTGAGTTCAGCGGCTCGCCACAGCCTCCCGGCTATTTGACCTTCTTCGCCTCAGCCCTGCACTCTCTGAAGAAAGGTGAGCTGACCTGTCAGGCCTCCAGTCCTAGCACACGCACATTTTATGTATATTCACTGTCATTATACTTCCTACTTTGCTTGATTACTGTTCTCAGTGTATTCTTAGTACATAATTACATTGTGTGTAGTGTTCTATTATTAGTAGAGTTCAGTACTATTTCAATTATTTTCTCTTTAGCTTTCAGGACATATAGCTTGATCATATGGTGCCTACAAGTATATACTTGGTATTTTTTAAAATAAAAATGTATTGTATTCTAGTCATTTTTAGCCCAGTTATAGTTTTTGCACAGGGTCTTCACTAGTTACCTGCTCTGTTAGGTAACTTAGCTGAACACTTCTTGGAGGGCTATTTTTCACATGTCAGAGTCATGACATGGCACCAAGTATGCTGCCGATTTCCTCTTGCACTCATACCTCACGGATTTAGCTGAGTCTTGTATTATTTGGATTCCCACTGTTTGCATCAGATGTCATCTTTCCATATGGATGTGTCCTGTCATGAGGCCACGCCTGCCAGCTCTGTTGGACACGTCCATGTCTTCTTCTTTGTTACCACTCTGGCCCTGCACCTGCACCTGCACTGGACAGTAGACAGGCTCAGCTCTACACCCACCAATCTCTTATGCAACCTTTAGGGGCCAGCTGAAAAATGTAATTACTAATATCTTGCTGTTTAGGAACTTGTCCTCCTCCAGTCTAAATTGTTGTTACCTTCCTAGCCCTTCATAGCTTGCCTTTTCTCCAGCAGTTACTAGATGAGTTGTTGAATGTCACTCTGCTTTCGCAGACTCAGATTTCTGAGGGTGGCTTCAGTTTAGTGTTTCTCTCCAGTGTCTGGCACATAGCAGAGACACCATCAATATTTGCCCATTGAGTAACCAGATTAGTATCCTCTTAGCCAGGAGATCCACAGAGAGAATGCAACCATCTCTTTATTACTGGATACTGGATTGCTTCAGGTGTTTTTGTTTTGAATTATAACAGCTTATTATCAACACACTAAACAATTGTACAACTGTTTTAAAATATACACTGTCAGGCTGAGAATGTGGCTTAGTGGTAGAGTGCTTGTCTAGCATACATGAAGCCCTGGGTTTGATTCCTCAGTATCTCATAAACAGAAAAAGTCAGAAGTAGCTCTGTGGTTCAATTGATAGAATGCTAACCTTGAGCAAAAGAAGCTTAGGGACAGTACTTAGGCCCTGAGTTCAAGCCCCAGGACTGGCAGACACACACACACACACACACACACACACACACACACACAGCTCTCTCTCTCTCTCTCTCTCTCTCTCTCTCTCTCTCAAGGTTTTATGCCTAGAGAATTTACTGTGTTCACATTTTTATCTGGGAGTCATCAGGGAAGAAAGCAGGCTTTCCGTCCACTTGAAAGACTTGGCACTCTATAGCTTCACGTGATAAGAAAACTCAGTGACCCTAAGGTAGAAAACGAAACACTTGCAACTTAAATACATTCAGAAGCAGATGTTCAAAGCTCTCTGTGGAAAATTAAGACCTTTCAAAACAGACCTTGCCTTAAAATTTCTATAAAGGTTACCTAGAGATATTCAATGAGATGATGTAGCATTCAAGCCCCTGAGCTAATGGGATGTTTAGGATAGGGGAGGGTTTGGTTAGCTTATATTGTGTGCTATTCTGTTGTACTACTGTGAAACAAGTAGCTCATCCTCAACTTTTATTCAGAGGCTTCCAACCTGGATACAAAATAGCCGTTTTTTTTCCCTTTCAGTCTTTAGACTGAGAGAGGGCAAGATTGGGATAGAATGGAGTTAAGAGGGAAAGTGCCAGGTGTGATGGCATACAGTTATAGTCCCAGCTACCCCGGAGGCTGAGGTAGGAGGATAATTGGAGCCTGGGAGTTCAAAGTCAGCTTGGGCAACATAGAGAGACCCTGTCTCAAAACAGAAAAAAACACATAACCTAGGGATAGACTCTGAGGTACAGTTTGGGTAGCACATTTGGAGTTCCAGCATTCTCAAGGCCCTGGGTTCCACTCCTAGCACCCAGAAAATGCAAACAGAAAATGCAAAATGATCTTGCTAATTTTGACAGCTGACTGTTTGAAGACTCCCTCATAGTGTGGTCTGGTTTATCTCTACTCTATTTCTTCCCTACCCCATGATTCTACTTGATTTTATGAGGTCCTGTCTGTATACATGTTCATAGGAGCCAAGATTCATTATAATCATCCCAGTTCATTCCATTGCTGTGTGTGTATACATGGCCAAGTTCCCACTTAGGCTTAATGATCCATTTTGAGAAACAAAAAGGGGAATCTGGAATGGTATTTTCCCTAATGCATGCTCTCTGAAGGATTACCTAAAATAAATCTTGCCTTGAGCATGTGGGCTTTCCTTTCTTACACTATGCAGTTCAACAGTGTTGTCTTATATTAGCAGCAGATGTGCAGTGAGAGACATGGGTGCTTTTCTTTTTTTTTTTTTTGTCGGTCGTGGGGCTTGAACTCTGGGCCTGGGCTGTCCCTCAGCTCTTCAGCTCAAGGCGAGCACTCTACCACTTGAGCTACAGCGCCACTTCCGGTTTTCTGGTGGTTTATTGGAGATAGGAGTCTCACGGTCTCTCCTGCCCGGGCTGGCTTTGAACCGCGATCCTCAGATCTCAGCCTCCTGAGTAGCTAGGATTACAGGCGTGAGCCACCAGCGCCCGGCCATGGGTGCTTTTCATTTCTTTTCTTTCTTGGTTGTGGGGCTTGAACTCTAGGCCTGGGCGCTGTCCCTCAGCTCTTCAGCTTAAGGCAAGCCTCTACCATTTGAGCCACAGCGCCACTTCCAGTTTTCTGGTGGATAATTGGAGATCAGAGTTTCACGGACTTTCCTTCCCAGGCTGGCTTTGAACCGTGATCCTCAAATCTCAGCCTCCTGAGTAGCTAGGATTACAGGCATGAGCCACTAGCACCAGGTTGGTGGGTGCTTTTCTTACGCTGGGGTTGCAGATGACAGTTTTAGGTCAAGATCCTTTTTACACTGTCTATACAAATGGGGACCTGTACAAACGGGGACCTGTACAAATGGGGACCTGAGGGCTGGGGATGTGGCTTAGTGGTAGAGTGCTTACCTATTATACATGAAGCCCTGGATTTGATTCCTCAGTACCACATCAACAGAAAAAGCCAGAAGTAGCGCTGTGGCTCAAGTGGTAGGGTGCTGGCCTTGAGCAAAAGAAGCTCAGGAACAGTGCCCAGGACCTGAGTTCAAGCCCCAGGACTGGCAAAAAAAAAAAAAAATAAATAAATAATGAGGACCTGAGACACTTAACGTTTGTTTGTTGTACAGCTGATGTGAAGAAGTGTTTTGGTGATCATGGTAGAAAACAGATGCCCTGCTTTGATTGTTTGTTTGTTTGTTTTGCTGGTCCTAGTGATTGAATCCACTTGTAACACTTCTAGTTACATCCCCCAGCCCAGTAAAATAATTTTTTTTTTTTGGTTAGTCATGGGGCTTGAACTCTGGGCTTGAGCACTGTCCCTTAGCTCGCTCAAGGCTAGTGCTCTACCACTTGAGCCACAGTGCCACTTCCAGTTTTCTGGTGGTATATTGGAGATAAAAGTCTCATGGACTTGCCTGCCCAGGCTGGCTTTGAACCGTGATCCTCAGATCTCAGCCTCCTAAGTAGCTAGCATTACAGGCGTGAGACACCAGCGCCTGGCTCTTTTTCTTTTTCTTTCTTTCTTTTTTTTTTTTTGGTCAGTCATGGGGCCTGAATTCTTAGCCTGGGCACTGTCCCTCAGTTCTTCAGCTCAAGGCTAGTGTTCTACCACTTGAGCCACAGCACCACTTCTGGCTTTTTCTGCTTATGTGGTGCTGAGGAATCGAACCCAGGGCTTTATGCATGCAAGGCAAGCACTCTACCACTGAGCCACCTTCCCAGCCCCCAGATTAATGCTTTCTTTTGAAACTGTCATATAAATAGTCAGGACAGGGGCTTGGAAGGTGGCTCAGTGGTAGAGTACTTGCCTTGCATGCCTGAGGCCCTGGGTTGGATTCCTCAGCACCACATAAGCAAAAAGAAAAAAGCCGGAAGTGGCATTGTGGCTCAAGTGGTAGAGCGCTAGCCTTGAGATGAAGAGCTGAGGGACAGCACCCAGGCCCAGAGTTCAGGCCCCACGACCGGACCCCCCCACCCCCAAAAAAAAAAAGTCAGGACACTCTTGAGTTCTGTCTTTTTTTCTTTTTTCTCTTATCTTTTTTGTACCAGTCCTAAGGCTTGAACTCAAGGGCCTGGATGCTGCTTCCTAGCTCCCCTGCCCCCTCTACCCCTACCCCACAAGGCTAGCACTGTTACTTGAGCCACAACTCCACTTCCAGCTTTTTGTTGGCTAATTGGAGATAAGAGTCTCAGGGACTTTCCTGCCCAGTCTGACTTTGAACTGCAATCCTTAGATCTCAGCCTCCTGAGTCTCTAGAATTTCAAGCATGAGCCACTAGCACTTAGCTTAGGTCTACATTTTTTTGAAGCTACCTGGTCATCAGTCTGCAAATAACTTGGAAGTGTGCTGGTGCCGGGATGCCAAGAGGAGAGCTCAGTCCTGCCTCTCGGGTGTGAGAGTGGAGCTCTGTGTGCCACCCCGCCCCCCTCCAATGCTGTCTGTTGTTTGATCTGCACATGACGGTAAGGAAGAGCAGGGAGCGTTCACATACTGTCTCTGCACTGCCACAGTTGCTTTCTCTCTGTTTTAACTCTCTCCTTTGTTCCCCACTGTCTCTGGCCTCAACTTGTGGATCTCTGCCGTGGTGCTAATCTACCAGTTGATAGAGGCCACTTACTAGGTGGTGGGGTGGGACTCTGGGTTGTATTTCTACCCATTATTTTCCTAGCCTCCTTAAGTTTAGCATTAGTCTTTATTTATATTTTCATGTATTTAAATCTCTGGTTCTTTTTCTTCTTTTTTCTGTAAATATGATGACTTACATTCTTTTTAAAAGTTATTTGGAACTTTACACTACTTGCTTATAG